GTGAGGAAAGTGATCTTATCAGTCGACATTTTGAGAGATCAAGCGTGATGCTGCACGGGTTAGTACACTCAAGTTCTCATCACTCGTGCATGGGGGCAGGGATTGCCAAAGAAGCATGTCCTTTCGCTGGTATTATCCAGATCAAGTTCACCGGTATTTCTCAGATCAACTCATTTCCTGGGCCCGAACCCACCCAAGTGCGCTTCTCGGTCGATGAAAGATATCGAGAAGGATTTGGGTGCCGGGCACAGTAGACGAGTTGAACACCCGGATGCGTTCTTCTCTTACTTTACCTCGATCTGTAGATGTTTCCATTGCGATAGATGCCATGGCTCTTTGACGCGAGCGTCGTACCAGGTCTTGGTTTGGTGTGTGATTATTGGTGGTTGATGATAGTGAGATTATCAATCGTGAGTACTTTGACGAAGACAAAATCACCAGACGGTGCAAAGTGCGGGAGACATGAGGGTGATATATCGCTCGTCGGGAGGGGTAAGTTCCTGATCGCTTAGACCTTTGCATAATCCCCTCACTTGGCCGAAGCTAATTATGCATTTCGGCCTGGCATCCGGTTGCCGGACCAGTCGAACTGCGTCATTCTTCATTCATCGTGAGTGACTTTGAGCTGGCGCCGAAAAACGTGTGCTCGTGAATTAAAATGGATCGTGATGCAGAAACAGTGGCCTGATCCTACATCTGCCCAATCATTGTTTGGCCATTCCATTCAAGTGAAGATCCTCTTGGTACCAGAATGTATCACAAAAGTGGTCTCGTAGGCTCAATTCTGCCCCAAGAAATCAAACGGACCTGACCACGGAGCCGCAATTCGTCAGAGGATTTCCCAACAGGATCACTCGCTCGAATCCCTTAATAGGGTGTGCTGAATAGCTACCCACAAAACATGCTTTGGATACGTAATAGAACATGAGCAAAATGTCTCATTCTCGGGGTTGCTCCGCGCATCCGTGTCTGCCACCGTGGGCGGCGGGTTACTCCGGGATGGGAATGGAATAGATCCTTCAAGACCTCCGGTCCCGCACCGAGCCGGCTTAGGCCGATGTTGGCCGTGCTTTGACTGTGTTGCACAATAGTGCCGATGACAGTGCATACGTTGCATAAATCTGGATAATTCAGAGCGGCGGGCTGACGAACTGGTGACAGTAATGAGTTGACCCCACGTTGATTACTATCAAAGCACAAGCATCCATCACTTCGCCGGTCACTTCGTCGGCGTTGACGGCGCAGTAGACTCACGGCCCGTCCCTGGCCGCTGTTGGCTCATCTCAATGATCCCAGAATCACTTGTCGCATGATATCGCCGCTCCTCCATATGCAGGTCGTACAGCCCTCCTTCCTTAGACACCAGAGTATCGCGATAGATCCATAATGACTTATACCGTGGCTCACCAGTGAACCCTTTCTCACTAGGCGCGCTCGTCGTCCGATCCCGAATCGCCATCGTCCTCATCACCTGTGCCATTTCAACCGCACCACCATCGGGCACCACGACCCGGTTGGCCACCAATGCAGCCACAATGCCGAGAAGAAGCTGAAGTGAGGCCGTAAGGATCAAAATCAGGTTGATCATCCCCCAGTGTGAGACGTTGAGCTTCGTGCCCTTCATAGGCATGGTCCCCTCGATAACAAGATTCGTATTACTGTCAGCGCTGATTGCGACCACCCCGATAGCAAACCGCGATAGCATTGCCTCCATATCCGAGGTTGTCCCATTCATAGGTGTGCCAAACACCGACTCGGACGGATACATCTGATACTGAAAATTGGTATCATTAACGAAAGACGAGGCAGCGTATCCTTGTAGAGCGATGCCGGCTGAGGCCAAAGACGTGAGGTTGGCGCCGATCTGGTGCTCGGCACGGGTGGCGTTCGCGACTTGACCGATTGTCACATTGCAGCTGTAGTACCAAGGTGAGGTATCCGATGCCTCGAATGCCATGACCATGGAGCATCCTGTCCCGCAGTCGAACTGGCTGTAGGTCATGAAGGTCGTCTGGTCGGTTCCGCCTCTGTTCGGGATGAAGATATCCCAGGATCGGTTGTTTTCGAGTGCTACCGTCACGTTGGTAGTCGTGCCGTTGCCGCCGCCTATGACGGGCCAGGCTGTGCATTTCGCCGTGGAATTGACGCTCCGGTCTGTGGCGACGGTGACTGGGTTGGCGTCAGGATCTTTGATGGAGGCTGTGGAGGTTTCGTAAAAGACATATTTGCACACCGTATCTGTGCAGAACATCAGGGGATCACTCGGGACGTGAATCGCTCTGGCTAATGGGGCAGCTGATATTTCCGCCGTGTCGTAAGCTAGAGAAATGGTTCCGTAGCTTGGAAATTGTCAGCTGTCAGCTCGTAGATATGAAGGATCGTGGGACTCTAAACAAGACCGACCTGTTCGCTGTGTACTGTAGAGCACCTAGAGCTTGAGTCTTGGACTTGACGACCTTCTCAGTTTCGATGGACGCCATGTTGGCGATAGACACATTGCCTGGTACCAATAGAGCCCGCTTATCGGCTGTATCTGTCGAGTAACAGAGGCCGATTGCTGCGAGACCTACTTGAGAGCCCTTGACGATCCGGTTAGTGACATCGCTCCATAAGAGGCCTCAAACTTCCTTACGATTGTCAAGATGAGCCATCCAACGGCAGCAAGATGGATCGACCACCTTTTTGACCTCGCTGCCAATGCAATGGTGTGCTTTAGGTTGTCGGCCTGCAAGATCAATTCCACCTTTCTCTTCGACCTGTACCGACGGCTCAGGATCCACCACCTCAGCTCGGCCACCATGTGGTTGAGACTACTCGCCACTGCGAGACCCAGCGCAATCGAGAGACCGGTGATGAGGGCGTTGTACTGTCGCTTCGTTGTTTGTGTCATGACAGTCTTGTTGGAGTAGGTCCATATGACGACGTAGATCGAAATAATAATGACCATCGTGATTGCCCATCGTGACAGAACCTTCCCCAGTACCTTCATCTTCGACTGTCGGCTTGCGGGCAGGCCGCGGAAGTGACCATTGTCGGCATCGTTGCGGAGAATCGAGGCGTTTTCCAGTTCATCCTGGGCTGTCAAAGTTGGCAGCGCTGGAAGCCATTCACGTTAGCAACCGGTCTCCATATGGCGACGGGACCCTCGATGACATACTTTGCGCTCTTCTGAATGGGTAAGGCATCGTGTGAGCCGTCTAGAGGGCTGGCCTCCCAATGGTTGAAGCGGTATGCACGTGCACGTGAGCGATTGCCTATGAAGGCATCTGCGGTAATCGACAATGTCCACAAGACACCTCGAACGAAAAATGCAAGGTTAATGTCACGAAGGATACCGTAGGGAATGACATCTTTAAAGCTCTCCCGTGTGGATGTGGATACAACCCCAAGATGGAGACCAAGTCCAGCCCACTTAGCCTGGCTTCTAAATTCCTGAACGTCAAACAACAGGCCTGTTGCCGGCCGGTTGCATCGACCGGGGCAATGCCGTTCGTCGAGAACGCGCCCCCACAGGGCACGCCGAGTCCTCTCCAAGAGGCCATGGTATTCAAGGGAAATTTCGAACACGCAAACTGAAACATGCAAGATCTTGATGGGCGGTATAAGACCCCAAGCAATAGCCACCTTTACGATACATTTCTACAACAATAAATTCTGTCGAAGAAGTCATTGTCTAAAACTTGAAGAAAGCAACAACGCCTCCAGCGACGATGCGCCAAAAATATCAAGGACTCGGCAGAACCCGCGACAGTGGTCCACCACAGCCGCGATTGATGATTCATGCGCGTCAGGGGTTCCAGGGCTGAGAGTCAGGCCGACAGCCCTGCCAGCTCGAAAACGGACAGCCCGAGATGACATCTTTGCTCTTCTAGGAGGCAAGAAACTAGGGACCTTTCGCGTGGATCCGAATACCTAATGGGGCCTAAGCTGAGGTCTTGATCCTAGCGATTGTCCGATGAGTCTAAAGTCTAAACTCTCCTGAAGCGGACCCGCGCAAGCCGCCGTCCGCAGTTCACAGGCAACCGGCCCCAGAAATCTTTTTCCAGCACGCAAGTCTGAGTTTCTAGGCCTGGGGAATGCTCCAAGCTTTCGTAATCTTAACCGACTCTCGAACATTCCTCTGGATTTGGAACACCGGCCGACGCGTTCCAATGCCAGTGATGTGTCTTGCTGTTCAAAACACGTGCTCACTCAGCCGCTGAGTAGAAAAAGCAGAGCTGTCGCCCCTGATGCGCCATTCAAGAGTCTGGCGTGAGTGACGCGGACACTGCAGCAACCAAGAGCGATTGAGCCGAACCAACAAAGGCCACCTACCGGAACACCGCCAAAACGCTCAGCCGCTGGGATTTGTTACAAGTAGACGTTGACAGATTGACATGGTTATGTCTCCCGCTATGCTAGTGCCCCGTTCGGACGAGAGAGCCGAGTGGCTGGGCCGTATTGAGGGGGGTGTCTCGCAGCCCGCGCGCACCGCTGCCAGGGCCGACCTTGTCCACAGCTGGCCCCACGTGGCCGGCATATGGAACTCTACAATCGTTTTATCAATCAGCTCAAATACTCTATATTCATTTTTGCAAATAAGATATGGCTTGTATGTCAGCAGTCGCGGCGCGTTGCTCTCTAATTCCGTGGCAATTATGTTGGTCCGGAGAGACTCAAAGTCGCGCAATTTATTACTCAACTTGTCCTGCCAAGGTGTTGAAGAGTAGACAATGTCGGAGGATGTTTTCTGTCAGCGAGATTGATTAAACCTCATATCTTGTACTTACTGTCGCGCGCCTTAGTCGAGGTGTCTTCGCGGGATCGGCTCTCAAGGTAAGCTACTCCGTAAGGTATCTCGAGCTCGCATGTATATTTAGCCTTGACCTGAACGAGCTCCTGCGAGATCTAATGCGGGTAGATGAGTAAGATCCAGTCATGTGACGGATTGGCCTTGGAAGCGGGGCCAAGTTCTACCTCACATTGGTTTGCAGCCTGTCGATAACCAAATTAATTCTAGTATGCCTTTGAAGAACATGGGCTATTACTTCATGACATATCCGCTAACGGAACGTACACTTGACTGTGACTCGAACATGTCTACGGACACGACGTTTCTATGCTCTATTTGCAAGCAGGTAGTTCAGCCAACATCGAGCCACTCCACCTCCAGTCCTTGGATCACGCCACCAGACCAAACTCTCGACGCCTTTCGAAAGGCAGTATTACGAGACTGCTTCATCTGCTCAAAATTATGGAACTTAAGTGAGCTACACAGGATAGGTTGGGAGTCCTTAGATCCCCAATTATGGCGGCCATTGTCGTTCAGAGTCGACAAGGAATATTATGAGGGTAATGATATTCTCCACCAGATCAGAGTGATAGTCATGTACCGAGATCCCACGCAGACCCATAGCGAACGTAGTACAGAATTACGATTCAGGCTAATTCCTTCATCTGGTATGTTCGACTACTCAACATATCGATGCCCAATCCAACACTCCAAGTAAAATGCACAGCAACTGCTAACATTACCGACAGAGAGAGAATACGAAGATCTTTTCTCGTTCGACAAGATTGACGAAAGCACTGGCTCCACAGGAACTCTTGACTTAGCTTATTCCTGGTTTTCGGAGTGTTTCCATGGCCATGATCAATGCAAGCGGCTGCCTACTTCGGCTGCCAACTGGCTGCCAACTCGCCTGGTCGACATAGGTTCCAGGGGGGAGACAACCTGGAGACTTGTTGTAACGTCAGAGAATTCAAAACTCAAGCGCTATCAACCGCGGCCTCAGTATATGGCCTTGAGTTACCGGTGGGGTACCGAACCTCAAAAGTTGGTTTTGTCATCACACAACCTGGATTTACTGGGTCGTGGAAGTCCCATTGTGCAACTACCGCAAACATTCCAGGACTTGGTTGTAGTTGCACATCATCTTGGCATCCGGTATGTCTGGATAGATTGTTTATGCATCATACAAGACTCCAGGAATGACTGGGAGAAGGAAGCGCTCACGATGAGAGAAGTATACACTAATGCAGCGTGCAACGTTGCAGCATCTGCTTCGAGTAGCCCTGCTGGCGGATTGTTCCGATCTCGTGTCACAAAGGACATCCGGCCGGGCATCGTCAGGTCAAACCTCGCTTTCCAAGAACCCGGGGAGTTCTACATGTTTGATAAAGGATATTGGGATCGCCACCTCCTGTATGGTGCTCTGCACACCAGGGGATGGGTGTTCCAGGAGCGGTTCTTATCACCGCGACAAATCTACTTCACAAGAAGTCAAGTTATGCGGGAATGCTTAGAGGAACACAAATGCGAGGGATTTCCACGAGGAATTCCACTTCATGAATCCTCGAAAAGCATAAAACGCCTCCTTCCACCACAAAGAAATGACGATGAGACCAAAGTTGAAGGCCTCATGCCATTCGATGCTTTGGATCTTTGGATTGATATCGTCGCTACTTACTCCAAGTGCGAATTCAGCGTCAAAGAGGACAAGCTTTACGCCCTAGGGGGCATTGCCAAGCTGTTCCAGGAAGTTACAGGTGACACCTATCTTGCTGGCTTGTGGCGCTCACGTCTTCTACATCAGCTAGATTGGTATACATTGATGCCACAGCCGAGGATCATGAGCAAACACAGAGCTCCATCTTGGTCATGGATATCTGTTGATGGGCCAGTACAGCCAACACACCCTGCTCACGGATATCACTTTCTAGCAGAGGTAATGGACGCAAGTGTGACAACGACAAGTGCGGGAAACGACTTGGTCAATGTAATCGGTGGTAGCATAACACTGCGAGCGAAGGTGTATGATGCAACTTATGAGCGAGAATACCCACTTACAAACGATGGGCTCATCCATTTCGGCTCTAAAGACAAGGCCTTGCCTCCATTTACGACATGGCCTTACCTTGATGCAGTTGAGGACAATCTAAACAAGAGCGGTCACACATCACTACTGCCCTTAAGAAATCAGGAAGTCAATTGGGAGGATCTTGAAAGGGACCAGTCTGGTGATACAAATGACGTTACTTGTCTCATCCTGGAGAAAGTTGGCGCGTCCAAAACCACCTATCGTAAGATCGGATGGATGTACCTTTGGGGAGGAAGATCTCATGGTAAAGAAAACCAAGATGTCATAGACGCTATTCTTAAAGCCCATCAGAGTGATCGAGGATGGGCACAGATCATTTTGGTTTGAAGAGTGAACTAAAGCAGAAAACCCCTGAAGCCTTTTCGATAATACTTGTACCGCTTTCTTCTGGGGGACATTTATTAATGCAAAGCAGATCCAGCCCATGCCACGCTTTTACATGATGAATCTAAAGCAACAAGGTGGTATAATTCCCAGTATGAAACTGACACGACATGTTCCTAGTCGTTGGCCGTTCTCTCCACAACTCGGTAGCCCACAAGCAGGATATCCTCGCCTGACGGCATCTAACATGATTTATTGTTCTCATGTACGAGGTCAAAGGCCGTTATGGATGCATCGTTGCCGTCTCTGAACACATTGCATCGAGATCACACCATTATCCGTTTGCTCCACCTGTAAGTCCTTCTTTGAAGGCAAATTTCGACCTCAACGATAAATACTATCTCTGGATTTCAGAAATTAGATGTGTGAACTCAAGAATTCCCATCGCGCGGGGATTGTTTCGACAAAGTTCGATGCCATTTCTTTTACCGTTGCAGTCATCCAAGGTTTTTATGCTCTGCGGATGATCATGGTAGATCAATGGATTCGATGATAATTGTCATTAAATAAGAGCTCGAGACATGATTCAATACGCATACCGACATAAAAAACCTATAGTCTTTTTCTCTGCAAATACTACGTTCCACTTCAGCGCAGTTTTGATCTGATAACGTCTTATTTGAAGCCGTCGAGAAACGGAGCTTAGGGGCCAATATCATACGATGCCTTGCAAGAATCTGCAAGCATACTTTTGATCTTAAGTCTAGCTTCAGCTTTACTTTGACGATTAAGGACCGATTGAACATAGCAAATGCAGTTAGAAGTGTCTTGTCTCACTGAAATGCCTAGGTCTATGATCAACCAAGGAAGACATTAGTCCTAGAAAAACACAATGTGGAGGTTCTATGTCATATTGTAAATTGATCCTACGCATCAGAGTGCCCGTAGCACTATTCTATCTCAAATCTATACTACGCGGGCTAAAAGAGGCGTAGTGTTCTATCGGATTCGCGCGAGCAAATACAAAACCAGCGAAGCCCAAATCGTAGCTGCGTCATGGACACGGTGATAGTACACTGAAACTGCTATAGAAAGGCAAAGTGATTGAGAATAAAATCGCTTTCAGCCAAGTCATGCCATGTCACTCTTAGTGACAAACAGAGAGCGATGGACTCACCAGCATATAGCGGCTGATTCAGTAATCCTCAGACCTATCCCATGCCCGCGGCTGGTGAAGCGTGTATCCCCAGCACATATCATCTATCGATGAGCCGATTTTTGATGTAAACTTCATAATTGATGGATAATTATTTGCACAGAAAAGGCAAGAAATGCAAGCATTGAAATTTCTTTGACTTCAGGTCAGTTCCTGTTAAATGCTATGGGTCAAGACCTCACCTTTGTTGTAACTCAACCTTCTTTCATTCATTAAACTACCTACTTCAATTACGTTGGAACCTCAAGGACAGCTACATATCGTTGTAATTGCACAGGGCGAAAAATAATAAAATTGGTAGATACTTAGGCCCAAGTGCCAGTTTACTGTTATTTCTTCCATCCATCACTTAATCTGTGGAACACTGACGGGCCTGGAGCCTCTGCCGAAACCAAATCAGGAACTATGACCAACTCCTGGCTCAGCCGTACCCCTGACTTGTCGGAAACAATCCGTGATCCGCCAGCCTAGACCGCGGGAAAAAGACGATGAGAGTTCCTTAGTCATTGTAAGTGCCCCAGTCGGGCGCAAATAAGCTTACTGCCAAAGCAGATTTGATCGCCGTTGCGAATTAACGCCCCGACATGGAGTTCCGGGAGGAATGACTCGGCCCAAGGGTAAGTTACGAATCGCCGTTCCTTGGTCCGTTGGTTGATCGAAGCTTCCACAGAACACCCTTTAGATACGAATTGAATCTGAGTTAGACATTCGGCATCTTGGCCATTGAGGAGCATTCAATCATTGGTCCCGGGATTCGGCAACTGAGTAAGGGACACATGTCTCTGAAGCCTGCCATCTACCCGAGGCCAAGCTCGACCACCCCCGCCTTCCGTTTTCTTACAGCGATCGAATCGATTCTTCCCCCCTTCGCCCTCGATTTCCAGCTGATGTATCACCCGATGATCATTCATTCCAATTCCTCTTCCTCGCATTCCGTGACAGATAGTTGGGCTGAGCACACCGGCAGGCTGGGAGCAGCCCCGGATAGTGACGGAATGGACACCGACAGTAGTAACTGCCAACTGATCACCCGACATACCTGCGTCGGGAGACTTGCCGTCAATCATTCAGTCCGATTCGCAAATTCTGGTCTTTTCGTCACAGATCTAGACTTCTAGGGTATTCGAGTAGCCCGTAAGTCAGATTTTCCCGTTCGGGAACATTGTGTACCGAACCCCTGGTGAGCTTATTAGTCGGCCGTGCCGGGCTATCCTGTGTCGTGGCACTGCATCGACTGCAACACTTAGGCAAACGTCCGAACTGTCAAAAGGGCAACCCTTGAATCCGAAGTATTGGTGGTGGTCTGAGACGGAGCGTGTACCAGACCCTCCTCTGTGCACAGGCACACGGCCCCGTGGCCGGAATGGGGGGCACGACAGGGAATCGCTCTCGCGTTTTGTTTCTCGTTGACCGTTGGTCGCACACACAGATTTATGGAGATCTTAATGAGTGTTTAATGGATCGTCGAGATCATGTTTGCCTCGGACTGATCTACTGCATAGTACCTATACCACATGCACATCGTCGACCCTGGCGACGAGAAGTATGAGCAAGATGGCATCCAGGAATGTCCAACACCATTGTCCACACGGAATAGTCGCTCGGTATGGAATTAAAATTGCTCGTATTAGTTGCCAGTGAGAAGTGACCTAGAGAGATGTGTAAGATTTCCCAATCGGGCCGGCGATATTCCCCTCTGTTGTCGAGAGGTCGGAAGACCATTCTGTGCTCGGCAAGGGGCTCATCGTCTGATGTTCTCCAACGCCTCATACTAGCGTCATCGGCTACTGTACGAGAGTTCCCGGACTTATCTGAAGAAGCCGAGAAGAAGTAGGTACGGCCATTAAAGGAGCCCGATAGTGGATTTCACAAGTAGGGGCTCTCTCGTCATGACGCGACCAAGCCAGATTAGGATTGAGGGGTGCAGATTTGACGGATTAGTAGCCATTTGACGTGATGGACCGTCGAGAAACCTCGTAGTCCTTGGAATTGCCATTAAAAGCAATTCATTATTCCAGCATCATATTCCTAGGCGACGCCGCGTCCAAGATATGACCCTGAGTGAAGAGCGAATTCACATTCATCTTTCCGAGATGATGGATGGAGAGACTGGAGTACATGTAAGGTAAGGTAGTCATGGCGAGTGGTTTAGGATGTGAACCTGAGATATGAACGCTTGAAAGTAAATTGCTAGTCTATGCTGTATTATTTGAACGCCAAAAAAACGCCTTGGCTTGGGATATCTTCCAGATCTTCTACACAACGCTCGCCAACATGCCACACCATTTGTACAATTACAACTCTACAGTCTGCGACCCTTTATTTGTTGACTTGGATCAATCCGGGACCTGCCAGGGTTGCCTTGGGAATGTCGTCAGGGTTGGTGAACTTGCCCTCGTACGTAAGTGCAGCAATAGACAGGCCAAACATGCTGTTCTTATCGAAGGGAAATTCGGCCTGGAAGGCGATCCTCGCGCCGTCCCACTGTGGGTTCATGACTGGGACGCTCAGGGGAACGTTGAGTCCACTCAGGTAGGTCACGAACAAAGGTGCCTTGTCCTTGCCGAGGAAACGGCCTGCCGTGACGATCTCCCGCAAGTCGACTTCGAAGTTGAGCATCTGGTTCTTAGCCTCGATTTCTCCTCCTGCCATCTGCATAACATTCAGTGGTGCAAAGACGGGGATGTCGATCTGGTTCATCTTGAACGGGCAAGAGTCTTTGACAACGAAAGACTGCAGCGCAGAGAAGGCGAATGGCGCGATAGAGGTCGTAAGGAAAGGCTGAGACGATGGCGGGCGCGAGAGAATGCTGCGATAGAATCCATTTTGCTCGCCCTCTTGGCCGATGACGGCACTAACGGCTCGGACGGGTCCGGCGTCGCCATTCTTTGCCAGCAGCTGGTTTGCATCTTGCAGAGTGCCGAGCACCACAGAGGTAAAGGTTTCGGCGAGGGCCACGGCTGATTTCAAGTCGTTTGTCGGGAACTGATACTTGCAAGGCGGAGGTGAAAAAGCCTTGAAGTGGTCCAAGACACCCTTAGCGTCGAGCGCATGGAGCTTTTCTTGCTGTCATAGCTGTCAGTGCCAGTTCCACGAGTCCCGATGACAACCTTCTTTTGCTTCTTCGCTGACCAAAGGTAAGAGAAACTTACAGCAACAACAACCTTAAGCGCGTCGACCATCTTATCCTTCTCGGTTGTTTCCCAGCCAGGTCCTCCATTGGTGACGTTTTCCAGCATGGATGAGAAGAAGGCGACCTCGAATTGTTCGTTGAACTGAATGAGCTGGAAAGCTGTCAAACTGCTCGGCTCCAACTTGGGCGGTGGTGCAGAGTTGGGGAGCGATCCTCGCGCCTCTTCCTCCACAACTTTGATCTGCTCCGGGCTGATCGGGAGTTCGGCACTGAAGGCCCGGCGTTCGAGTGGGGCCGCTGCCGAGAAGCCGGCGAGCATCACCGCGGCGGTCGCGAGAGTTGTTGTGAGCTGCATCTTGACGTTTTTTGTTTGTGTACCACCGAGTTCAAGTTTGTGCAGAGAAATATCCTTCAGTATCGGAAAAGGTGTGTTAAATACCCAATAATTTACACGAAGAAAAAGAGGTGAACGATAGACAGGGGAAGCGAATTGAAGTAGGCGGGTTAAAACGAAACAGGTCAACTTGGCATTAGATTCGAGAGCTACATTGACATGGTTGGAGCGACCGGGACGAACTATTATACTCTCGAGGAGTTTGTTTCGATACATGATCTTGAAACCTGTTTGTTGCTTGGCGCACGTGGACTTGCAACTCTTTTAGGTGGGTAGAGGAGAAGAGCACCGCACATACTCTTCCACGACGTAGGTACACACATCGCGACACACCATCCACACACTTACACACAGGCACATCAGATTTTTCGGAGAGGAATACCCAAGCGCTCTTACGGAAAGATCCTGGGCCGACAGAAATGGACCACACCAAGGCACCCACAGGAATCGCAGGTAGGGCTGGTTTCGGAACGAAGTTGCACCGCTCAACTTGCTCAAACTGGCATGTTACAGGGGGGTAGCTGGATGACGTCTCTGGGAACGGACAGACTGTTGGGTCTTCGATTTCGAAGGATCGTCTACCAAGACAGGGAATCAACAAGGACGATGCCAGCTCTAAGGCGAGCCTTTAACGCCCTGTCAGCCAAGCCGAGTCCTCAAACAAGACATCATTTTTCTTTCTCGTCTGTCTCTCGCAATCTCTCACTTGTCTTTCCCCGCGGTCCACCACCAGTCAGTGGCTTTCACTCTCGATTGAACGAACCTGACACGTGCTCGAGCTTTTCTCTCTTCTAGGCGCTGTATTCGAATTTTGCCGTCCCCGTCCGACAGGTATCCATACGTCAAACGTTGTCTCCCTCCAAGCCTCCCAGTGTGTTTCTCTTCGCTACCCTATTCAGGTAACATGGACCAACCCTAGCGGTATGTCACTGCCGAAGCGAAACCCCAGTCCCCGTATGGAGTCACACCAAACATCGATTAAGATAAACGTCGAACGTATCTGTGTCTGAATCAGGCCCAGCTCGTGCCTCTCCTTGCCATTTTGAAGCTCTGGTCCCGTTCAAAGTCGGAGGCCTTGACCATTTTCCGCTTAGCAGCAGCCATAGCCGCAGTAGATCGTAACGGGGCCTCCCCATGCGCTCCCGAGCCGTCAGAAGCGGCGGCGGCAGTAACGGTAGCATCGGGAGCGTTACCACGGCTCGCACCCGAGCCACCACCACCAACAAGACTGGCCCCCCATCCTCCTTCGCCTATCTGTCTGTTAGTCCAGATTGGTGGTGGTTCCTGATGAAAAGGCCCCGGCGTCATCGCTTGGTCCCTCTTCTCCACAAAATGCGCGACGCCCGTCCGCGAGCGCCTCATCCCTTTGTTGCCGAACTCCGCCAAGCCCTCCCCTTCAAAGTCGAGCTGCGCGTGCGCCCATACGAGCGACTCATTGTAGTTCTCCTGCGCGTACGTGTGGAAGGCCTGACAATAGGCCCGTAATGGTCGATGTTCCTGATTGCCGAACTCCAGGAACCCACGCGTGGCATGCAGCATCTCTTCGAGGCTGCGATGAGGCACATGAACCCATGTCGTTGTTTCTGGCCTCTTGGGTGCCGTAGAATTCTTGTGAGACTTCACTGACGATGATACCGTCGGAGTTGAATTTGCTCTCTTGGCGGAAGCTCGAGCGGAGGCCTTGGCAGCTCGATGAAGGACTTTCTCTACGATCTCATACGCTACACCATCTTGCGAAAAATCATAATGCGCGACGGCGGCAATCGCCTTCAAGCCGAGGTCTCGCTGCGCAGGCGGCTGCTCCTCGATGCGTCGAATGCCAGCGTCAAAGAAGGAGACGACATTCGCAGGCAGTTTATCTGCCTGAACGGCAACGGCGTCGAGAGATTGGGTTCGGTGGAGGTCGTCCAGTCGCAGACGAGCGAGACTGATGTTACCGCTGGCCTGACTTTCAATTTGATGTCGCAAGTCGGCAAAGGCCTCATGGTTTCGGGGGTCAACCAGCCGTCTGCCAAAGGCGGATAGTGGTGGTAGCTCGTCGGGCTTGTTCTCCCTGCTGTTGTTGCTGCGGCTGCCCAGGCCAAGGTCTCCGTGCTCTGTCTCCAGGTCCCAATCGATGAATCGTGAGACCGGTTCCATGGCGGAATGGACTTGAAGCTCAATATGATCAAAAGGTTGGACGAAGTCTGCGGCGTCTCCGCTTCGCATTCGCCTCGGATGTTAGCCTTATTCCACTCGATAGTCTCAACTTCAACTTGGTTCCAAAGGAGCCGCATGTCTTCCCGTAATAGAAGAAAGTTCATTTCATGAAGTGAGAAAGCATCACAACTATGGGTGAAGTATGCAAAGAGAGTGTTTAGTTTGGCACGGCCATGGCAAACTTACCAGTTGGTGCATGTCTTCTCATTGTCTCTGCATTCTTGGCAGAGAATGTATGAATCCAGTTTCACCTTTCCCTTCTTACAGCTCTCACATCGCCAGTAGACATGGAGGAACTTTGACGCATCGTCGTCGCAAGAGTCGCAATATTGCCAAGTAGGTATCGTCTTGAGACATGAGACGCGGGAGGTGATGAGTACCTTGAGCCTTGAGTCGTTCGCCAAGATGGCCAGCTCGTTCTCGAGAAACAGGTCAACGGCCGGACTACACCTGTCAAAGTCGTCGACGACAAGGAACGCGCGATCGAGCATGCCAAGTCGCGACTGCAACGCCTCTCGCATAAGCTTAATCCGGAAGATGTCGCGATGACCGTGCTTCCTAGCGTCGAGGTAAAGTCGATACTTTGCGACGTACGCTTCGTCCTCGTCGACCTGTGTGTGGTTGACGCACAGTTGGTGGAATATGCTCGTCAGAACGTCTTCCACAAAGGCGGTACCGCCCGAGGCCACGTCCGTCCGCACAAAAACTGAGGCGACGGCTTCCCTCTCCCCATGGTACTGTTCTCTCAACCTCTTGGTCGCCAGCGCGGACAAGGTCGTCTGAAATGGCACGAGTTGTAAGTAAGCAAGTAGGTAATCAGCGCATGAATTCTATCAGTGTGATGCATCACCAACCAGCGTCTTGGCATCCGAACAACCCTTGGGACGATCTGGAGGCCCATGACCTTCATGCAAACTGCAAACTGCGACCTGCAAAACAAAGGAAGGAGATGCAAAGGAAAATGCCAGGGAAAACGTAAAACAACAAACAACTTGTACGCACCTTGCCTGACCCTGGTCTACCAACACAGCGCAGCATCCACTTGTTGTCATCCCGTTGCCAGCATTGAAAGATGTCGTTCATGAACACCCAGTCCCACAGTGGGTGCCAGATATCCGCGCCCGGTTCGTGCGACTCGCTCAATGCGGGGTGCATTTCTGACCTGCTCTCGAACAGTTCCCTCACCGCGGGATGGTGCACTTCTTCTGCTTCAACGGCGTCCATGTTTTAGGGTCTCCGTTTCGGTACTAGTATTGGAAGGCTCAGGGTCGAAACGGCGCAACGGCTGTATCTTGGCCCCAGCAGAGCAGCAGAGTTCAAATCTTCAACGGAGCCGGCGGGCTTCCGACATTCAAGAAACGTTGGTTAAGTTTCTTTCGTTCACCGTGCCACCGGACGCTACGGATAGGGCTCCTCAACGGGAAAGAAATATCGGATCAGCGTGAGTCGCGAAAAGGCCACCCGTTCAAGAAACTCAATCAGTTCCACCTCTAGAAAATCGCCGTGCTCGAAGATGCACGTGGTGAGCGGAACCATCGACTTCATCACACCCACTTCCGGGTCTGCAAGCGCCTTGTGTCACCAAAAAAACGGGTGCAGAGATTTGACGGTTGCCTAGTAGGGCCTTACCAGCAGGCGTACAATCTTACCGTTTCTGGCGGTTCGTAAAATCGAGTGTGTTGATACTACCGGGGTTGTAGAGGGGAAAATCAAGCTACCCATGCAGCTGCAGGGGCTGCGCCTCACCGAGTTGCTGGAATCTCACGCAAAATCATCTTCCCTTACTTACCAAACTAATCAAACCAATATGCTTAAGTGCTGACTTACATCTCAGCCGTGAATCCTACGGGACCCAGACAAGCCACATGTCTTATTGACTGGACTTATCGCGTGATAAGCAGCCCAGCCCTAGAAGCAGGTCCCACTCATGCTACAACGACGGGCCGCAGCCACAAGCCGTTGGCACATCCCTTGGAGCTATTCTTTTCTATCGACATTGACGCATCGTGAGCTCATTTTCAGATACAGAGGGTTGACGGTGTACTTCGAAGTTCTCTGAAGCGACTTACACATAATTTGATGTAGATAGGAGAATACCTGACCTCGTCGATGTGCACTGGTCAAATAGTTGTGACTTCATGGCTGTTGCGTGCCTCAAGTTGGGAATGGTGTTGCCTAGTCTCGCGTAGCCTTGGAGGACTGGTCAATGACGGGCTCTACGTCTGGTATTCCACATTCGAAGAAGCAATGGTTACATCGGGCCGCACTATATGCAGCCTCGATGCAGCCCAGCAGTCTGGTCCCCAGGCTCTGGATTTACGATTGCCTAGCAGGGTCATGGGGGCCGAATGTCTAATCTTAGATGGGAAATGGCGCCCGCAGGTGCAGACCTTTGCTTTTTGCCTCACTGATGGAACCTGATTAATAAGAGGATTGCAGCCAGCCATTGTTGAATTTTGTGTTCAAGAGCTTTTTTGCAAGTCAAATCAACCACCGTTTGGTTGAAGTCAAGTCAAAATGCTGTTCAAAGTCCCTTTATTGCTGCTGAGCCACTGCTTAAGTGCCGTGGTTGCTCGCCCGTCTGAGGCTCCGAAGAGTTTGCCACGACGACAGGATGCGCCTGTTCCACCACAATCGATATGTGGCGAGATCATTGAGGCCGTCAATGATGGTAAGTATCGCTTATGCAGGGTTGATTTCTCCTTGGTGTTGATCAAAACGCAGGATATCGGATCTTCTATGCCTCGGACGTATATCTTTGCTTGACTAGCGTTCCTTTCAACGATGCCGTGGCACTTCGCTTTATCGAATATTACAACACGACTATGCAGTTTCAAAGCACATTGGCATACCTCAAGAACCCTCCAGAAGGTTATCAACAACCCGCGTTTGACCTTAACCAAGGGTTGGAATACTTGAAGGCGAACGTAACCTCGGGTGTCTATAAGAACCAGTACCAGTTTGAGGCCGATCTACAGCTTTTGGTCTACTCAGTTCATGATGCCCATGTCGATCTTGCCGCTGGAATTCTCTCAGCCTTCTCCTTTTCCAGTCCCTGGTCACTCGTCACTGCATCAATCGACGGCAAGGAAACCCCGAAGGTGTACTTTGAATGTGAGTGGCTCTGGCCCGGAACCTTGTGTAGGCATTACTAACTTTGAACTCAAGCTCAGGTCCGCGATTATCGAGACAATGGAACTAAGATTTCCGCCATCTCTCACATTAATGACGAACCCATTGTCGATTTCCTAACTCGCTACGCTGCTCTTAACTCAGTCGGCATGCTTGAACCCCACGCCGACTGGAACCAGATCATGGGCAACCCTGTACAGGATATCATAGGGGCGTTGAACATTTTTGCTGGAAGCGGCACCTTCTACCCAGGGGACTCGCTGAATTTCACCTACGAAGATCCCAATCTGAACGCAGTCGCTGTCGAAGAGACCTACTGGGTTGCAATCTACAACAACCCAGATTTCACTGGTCCTCTGACAACCGGCGGTGACTTCTACAACTACTTCGTCCTCGGACTGTTGCCTGCATCCTATGGTGAAGTTCCGCTGCCGCCTGCATTTGGAGGCGGTGAAACGTCAAGCGGCATCTTCAACCCAGTGCCGCAGCAACAACGCCGAAGCTTCTACAACGAGAGTCTGGGAGCATTCCCGCCCAACCCGGATGTCGTGCAGAACAACTTGGACGCGACTGGAAACGGCGGTGTCGTGACCGGATACTTCTATGAGGACATCTCCACGGCTGTGCTCAGTATTCCGCACTTTGACCAGTACGGGTGGGACATTGGCAACTTCAGCTTGGCTGTCGACACGATTCTCGAGGGTGCCCAGAACAGAAGCCTTTCTAAGCTCGTGATTGATCTCACGAATAACTATGGTGGCACAACTGGTCTTGCGCTTCTCTTGCTACGGGACTTGTTCCCTGGCATCGACCCCTTCGCCGGAAGCCGGAGACGCAGCTTTGACATGGCCAATGTTCTAGGCACTGCAACGACGAACTACTGGGAGGGACTTCCAACCAGTAATTTGACAGAGTTCAAGACAAAGGTCGAACTCGTGGCAGATGAGTGGGTTATCACGTCTCGCTTGAACGCAGAGACCAATGAGAACTTCACATCATGGCAGGAGTATGAAGGCCCGAGAAGATACAAGGACGACGACTTCAGCTTGGTGGTGAGTTGACCCAGAAACAAAAGAATATCTAAGTATCCTGAAAAGCTCTTAGCTGACATAAACACAAGGAACGCTACGATCTGTCGAATCCGTACTTCCACCAAGCTGCTTTTGACGGCTGGCTGATGACCCGCTATATTGACAACAAAGATGTTGGCGAGTCGCCGCCATTCGAGCCTGGAAACATCGTTATTGTAAGTCAAGACACCTATCGCCATAAACCGGCTGGTTCACGATACTACAGAATCTCTTGACTAACACGGCTCGCAGCTAACCGATGGTGCCTGTTCATCCGCTTGCGCTCTCTTCCTCGAAGTCGCTACCACTCAAGGCAAAGCCCGCACCATCGTTGTAGGCGGTGCGCCCAAGCCCGGCCCAATGCAAGCGGCGGGCGGTACTCGTGGAGCCCGCATCTACTCTGGCGACTTTCTCGACGCCGACTTCGCCTTTGCACGGGAAAAGGACGAGACTGCTGCGACCAGACTACCGGACGTTCGCGAGTCGGGCATGTACGTCAGTTACGCGGCCTTCAACCTCCGAGACCAGCTTCGCGCGGACGACGTCTCGACCCCGCTCCAGTTCCGCTACTCTGCGGCTGACTGTCGTTTGTACTACACTCTCGACAATGTCAATAACATGACTGCTCTATGGCGAGACGTTGCTCGCGCAGCTTTTGAGGATGACACCATGTGCGTTGAAGGTTCGACAGGGTACACGGCCCGCAACGGCGCGGTACCAAAAGCGCCGCCCAAAGCCACTCCAGTTCCGCTGTCCACACTTAAGACGGCGATCGAGTTCACTGTTGACTATGACCCGGAGACTCCTAACGGACTCCCAGCGGGGCAGGGCAACATTGGAAAGAAGGTGACGCCCCAAGCTTGCGACGCCAATCCTAACTTGAGATGCCCTTTGGGCGGGAAAGCGTGGCTAAATGTCCCGGTTTCCTGTGCAAATAGCCCGGCAGGCAATATCCCGTGTGCCTGTCTCCCGTTGTGCTCGCTTGCAGAGAACAAATGCGGCGATCTCAACTTGCAGTGCGTTCCCCAAACTGAGTACGTTCAAACGACGAACCAGGCGACGTATGGAGCATCGAAGAAGAATGCTGCCAGCACATTCACGGGTGGGACGGTGACCCAGGGCTACTGTGTACCCAAATTTGGAAGTCCGTCGCTGGGATGCCCGTTGTATTGAAGGGCGAGCTGCTGAACTAGGTATGTTGGCGTCAAAAGTCTACCAGCAACAGTATTCTAAAGTCATCTAAATTCTTGTAAATAATTTTAACGAATATCATTGATTGAGTGACTGTCCCTGACCCCTCACTGATATTATGTTTTCGCCTTGTTGCGATTAACTTCCGGGATACGATACTCACTCGCCCTTTCCCTCCTTACATTCTCCCAAAAGTCATACCCACCATCTTTCCTCCTCGTTCTCCTCTCTTCCCGTTCCACCTTGTTGACGCGTCTCTTCTCCCTCTTCTTTCGTGGTACAATCTTCTTGATGCTGGATGCCACAAGCACAACGACCTTTTTACCACCCTTGTATCCCATCCGAACGAATCCTTGCACACGACTACTGAACGCCGCAATAAGCGCCGCTGCAATGATGAACACGGATAGGGGCAGCGAAACGGCACCGATGAAGCCGATAGTTGGAAGCTGAGCATCCCATTCGACTGTGTTCATGCCGAATAAGCTTGTAAAGAAGGACAAAGGGAGGAAGATGACGGTGAATGTGGTGAAAATCATGACTGAGAGATTCTGCGAAGAGGCTAGCTCGGTCTGAAGGCGTGACCACCGAACTTCATCCACTTGAGCCTTACGCTGGACCATCTCCAAAAGTTTCTCATACTGTGACATGTTAGCCGACTTTTAAGACTCAGCAGTGCAGGTTGAGATGTAAAGCACTCACATCATTCCTCGTCGTGTCGACTCTCTTCAGCATCTCTAGCGTCTGGCTCTTGTACTCTTCAAGCTTGGCTAGAGCTTCTTCGAGGTACATCTGCCCGTTCCTCGTGACACTTCTAAGGTCTTCTCCCTCAAAGATCGCCTTCATGTTTCGAACTACGCCATCCTGGGTCTCAAATAGCCTTTCGAGGGACTTGAGTTCATCCTCCAGATCGCGAAGTTCCATCAGTGCTGACGTGTTTTCGCGGTTCTCCCGCTCGGCTTCTTCGAGCTCACGCTTATGGCGCTTCTTGATGGACTCCGGCCGATTGCTATCCGAGTCAGATTCGAAGCCAACGTCTTTGAATGTCTGCATGCGGAAGTGCTTCAGGGAAGAAGTCATGCGCTCGGTCTATACCCGTTAGTCTCAGGGCTTGAAAACTCAGAAGGATGCCGGAGGTGACCTACGAGCATGCTGATTGCTTCTTCAAATATTCTGAAAATCTCGAGGTCAGGATGAGAAGCCCGATCGAGCAGAACAGTGATTGCATGAAGTACGATGAATGCTGCAAGATCCAGTGCATTCTCACAACGGCCCGTGAGATCTCCATTGAGCTCATTGTATACGCTGTTCCTGAGGTCTGCCTGCTGGAATAGGGGGCCCTCTTTTGGCTTTGATTCCCTTCTGTTGAAGAATGTGGTTAAGGTTTCTAAGGCATTTATCAGTTCTGAATTCTTTCAATCGAACCGAACTGGGAGAACCCACTCGTATCAATAGCCCACAGCCAAAGCTCATCGACCATGAGAACCTTGCCATCCTTGATAACCTCATCGAGATCCTGGTTCTCATCATCTGTATCAACCTCATCCTCTAGCAGTCCCGTGCTCGAAGGCGTGAGCTTGTTCATCGGGCTCCATGTCGACCCTGTGGTTTGTCGTCTCTGAAGTCCCAGCTGTTCCAAGTCAACTCCAGCGGACGCGCGATCTTTGGTAAGCTTATAAAGCATCTGATCGTCATCGCGAGCCCATGTGTCTCTCAAGGAGGGGTATGCAAACTGATCAAGAGTCCGGCGGTAGTTGAGTGGCGGGTCATATCCTATGTACTCCCAGATCATTCGAAGCTCCGCGGAGTCTAGCTGTGCAATTTCTCGCGGGACCGGACGAGACCTACCATGCTGCATGCGCTGCTTGATGAAGTTGCGTCGGCGGACGATGTCGATATACGTGTCGAAGTGAAGGAACGGAAGGTACATGTACAGATACGCTGACGAAGGCCCAGCTGGACTGACACGGCCAGAAAGGTTAGGGGACGGATGAGGTGAGGGAGCTTTCGACATAATTAGCTTACGTTACACCGACTCATTTAATTTGAAAGCTCACCTGAGTTGAGGGGAATGATGTTGCAGGCCGGTTTCACGAACGATGCTTGCGATTGAGAGTGTCTTCCGATGACATGCTTCGATGCCCAGTTATCATGGTTGAAGAGTTTCACGAAACTTGGGTCGTTAGGGTTGGCTAGGACACTGAAAACATCCTGTATTGCGGTTTTAGCTCGGCCGAGGGAGGAATTGCGGTCCCGATCTTACCTTGACCCAAGAGGGATTGGTGAATGGAGTGTGAATCCACATAAACTTTCTACCGGTCGGGTCAGGCCTTGAAAACCCAGCCGTCAGATCCTCCAAGGCAGAAGCCCTCGAGTACCGGTCTTGTCGTCTGGAAAGTGGCTCTGAATAGCTCTTCTCTACACCTATTGATGCAAAAGGCTCGGGATCTGGCGCCTTCGGCGACAGCTCAAGTTCTGTTGGATCTGACCTCGTGCTGTCGGCGTTGCTACCTCGACTGGATGGCCGATTGAACCCCGGCGGAGACAAGGCCGGGACCTTGAGGCTTTGCATTCGCCGTAGAGTATCCAAAGGCATCGAATTAGAGCCTCCAGCCATGGATGGACGAGTGACGACGATGCCGGGCGAGCCCTGACTTTCAGAGTCGGAGCTCTTGGGCCGACTCCCAGCGTCCGAGCCAGCTCGCCATATCTTCTGCCCCAGCTCTTGGAAGCCAGCCATAATTCCCAGGCCATGAGAACTGTGTTGTGAGTCTGCCTGGCTTGGATGGGGCGGATTGGGATCGGACCGCGGCCGGAGTGTGCTTCTTCTCAGCCGTTCTTCCAGGCATCGTTCAGGACCTTTGTCCAGAAACTCTTGGAGATGAAGCTTTGTGAAGTAAAGACGAATGGCGGACTCCATGTCTGCATCTGGGTCTTCATAGAAGCCAATTATCTCGACCTTAATATGTCTCTTGAGGTTCAGCGGAGTGTGAATGTACTGGGAGCTCAGTTCTGTAGCTTTTTGAACCGCTACAGAGAGTTCATGTAGGTAGGTGTTCATCGTTTCTGTGTTCCCCTCACCAAAAGAGGCGCAATTGGCATGTTCGCTGTCCAACGAGAAGACCCGCTCCTGCCTAACGGCAAGTAATGATGACTTTATGGAGGCAATGGGGGCGCCGAATCGAACTTCCTTCGCTAAGCCTCTACTCGTAGACCCAGAGCCTGAAAGCTGGGAGTCGATGGTCTCATAGAAGGACCATATCCTGAGCTCGCTTGCGATTGTCGAGAATTCCTCGTCCATCTTGAGAAGAGGCTTGTGGCCTAGTCTCAAATTGTTGGAGATTGAGCGTGGAAGTGGTCGTTGGAGGCGAAGAAGGTGGCGAATACTGTCCTCCAAGTTGTTCATTGACAGGTAACTTGAGCCCTTGTGCGGAGTTGCTATACCGGCATCAGCATCTAGACGTATCCCGATGTCTTCAAATAGGACGTCGAACTTACCGAAAAAGGTAACTCCATGACAGTTATACATAAATGGTTTGAAATACTCGCTCTTGGTTGCTTTCAAAAGAGCCAGCTTGACAACTAAGCCGCCAACACTATGCGCGATGAAGAACAACGGACGAGACCGTTGCTGAAGCTATGTTATCCCGTGGATCTCAAGAAGAAATGTTGTCAAACACTCACGTTGCCATATCTCGTGTTCCAAACTTGTTCAATCAAATCGTTCGCAAGCTCTTCAAGGGTAACCCCCTCAATTAACTCGCGATGACGGTAGAGAAGCACGCGAGCCTCGCTAACCTCCTTCCGAATCCCCTGCCTCACCCACAGATGGGTCGCCTTGGGAAGATGTCGGTTGATCGTCGGTGACAGAATACTCGCTCCCGCGAGCTCTTTCAACGCAGTCGGCGGCACATCAGCGGCCCGTCCGAAGTATCCCTCCGGCAGTGGGTCGCGGGCCCATGTCTCGACTGGGTCGGCTCCGGGACACGGCACACAGACGATGTCGACCAAAGTCTCGTTGTACCCACGTCCATTGACATCGCCGTCGATGTGCGCGAAGCCTGGTCTGGGTTCCCAATGTGATGAAGTACTAGGTCGTGGAGGCGACTCGGTTCTGTCAACTTGCGTGTCTTCCGATGGCTGGCCAGGCGGCAACGTCTGAGGCGGGTCGGTGCGCTCGGGGCTGTCGTTCTGAGCGGCGGCTACTTCGTCGAGGACCGCGTTCTCAGTCTCGCGCGTCCAGTCCTTGTACTCTGACATTGTGCTTCATCACTCTGATCTACCGAGGAAATGACATGGAGATTTCTTGCGAAAAGCGACCTGGGACACTGTCGCTTAAGGAACAATGAGATCCTTGCCAAGCTCATTCTGTTTGTCTTCAATTCTCGACAGCGCAGTCATCATACCGGACGCCTGTTTGCTTATGCAACCACCAAGGCGACCGAACCCCTGTGAGTCTGCGTGACCAGGCTGCATCATTATTGCTGACGGTGGCAGGCTGGCTTGTTCGCCAGCCTCAATTTCCCCTAGTCCCGAAGACAAGCTGCGGACCGAGCCTCAGCGGACCTTCACCTCAGATTGGAGGTTGCGCGGTGTGTGCGGGTAGCGTGCAGAAGGATCAGCCTACGCTAACTCCTCGTGGTCAGCTACGACCTGATATCACCTGGACAATAGAGGCCACAGGCAACGGCGGCTATGCTTAGACAGGCATCGGGGTCTCAGCCCTGAGGTGCGACTGTGTGTGAACACTTGGTCATTGTGAGAATGCAACATAAAGAGATGGAGAATGCTAAGACGTCTCACAAGAGCCTCATACTCATAAAGTCTGTATGGTTGACTATCCCACAAGGTTTGTGACACACTCAGAGGTTGCGTGTCTAGGAGTTGGATGAGTCGAATGCCAACTCAGGACTTGGCGGCTTCGCCCGCTAAAATCGCCCTGAAGTAAGGTGTGCCGCGTATCCGAAGTGAATCGCGCGACCATCAACATTGAGGATGGTGAGCGCTCGCAGTCATCTGCTCTAAGCGGGACATTCTGAGATGAAGCAGGAGAACGTGGGAGTCGACGGCTTTTCTCGTCAGTCGACCAGGCCTTGCTGCATGTACCTAACGATAGTAGTCAAATATTGACGGTACGGAAGTTCCGTGAGAGCACAGCAGCTCGCTGGCGATCGGGATTCAACCGACTCGCGTCAGTTTCTGTCGATATTCTTGTAGGGCAGCATCTAGCTTAGCTCAAGGTGGCCGCAAATTGAACAGCGCAAAATTGAGAAGAGTGGGATTTCTTCCTCGAGAACCTGAAGCATTCATGATCTTCGAGTTCCCATCCTCGGTCTCGATATGGCGGAGGTGAGAATTGCGGCGTTCTCACTGCATTTCCGGAAATCGAAGGGCGTCTTTAGGTACGTACTCCCCAGTCCCACTCCCGAAACTCTCGTCGCGGGGTTCTCAGCGATGGAACGCGGGGCATCGGCCATTCCGCCGAGCTCACAACGACACAACTTATCCAGGTCTAACGATAAGTAGTGATCGTTGTCTGCATGTCAAAAGCTTGATCTAAAGAATTCGTTCGCTCTGCTGATCTTCCACCTATTTTTCAGCTTCAGTGAATCATCCACCTCACGTAATCATCAAAATGTCGTCCTGGGCGGAAAGCAAGTCACAAAATCGCAGTCTACAGATTCTCCAAGCCGCGACTGAGGGCAAATATGGAGTTCTCTCCGTGGTTATGTAAGTATTATCAGCTACCATAACACGTATTATGAGAGTATGGTACTGACATCTTATATTTCAGCTACAATATTGAGCATCTCACTGCCATTGTTCGCGCAGCAGAGGCCAAGAAATCGCCTATGTTGATTCTCTTGTTCCCCCTTACTGTCAAGCAGCTCCCGACTCTCCCATGGGCCGTCGCCGCTGCCATCAAATCAGCAAAGGTCCCACTTGCCCTGCACCTCGACCACGCCCAAGACGAACAGCAAATCCGCGACATCGCAGGAACGCTGCCATTCGACTCAATCATGGTCGACATGAGCCACTACGATCATGAGGAGAATCTCGCCAAGACCAAGGTTTTGACAAGAGTCTGTCACGACCACAACATTGCTGTCGAGGCGGAAAGTGGACGCATCAACGGTGGAGAAGACGGCATCGCAGACACCGGCGACTTGGAAGGTAAGGCTCGGAGCCTGTGCAGCATGAAATTCATCCGCTGACTTGAATAGCTCTTTTCACGAGCCCTGAAGAGGTCGAAGATTTCATCGATGCCGAGATTGATCTCTTGGCACCCAGCATCGGCAACATTCACGGAGACTACGGCCCCAAGGGCCCTCAACTCGATTACCAGCGATTGACAAATGTCAATAAGCAAATCAACAACCGAGTCCTCATGGCTTTGCATGGCACCAATGACTTCAGCCCAGAGATTATGAGAAAATGCATCGACAACGGCGCCATCAAGTTGAATGTCAATAAGCTGCTTCTGGAGGTTTGGAACGTACATCTGAGAGAGAACGCCAACAAGCCACTGACGCAATTGATGGAGGACGGGATGAACATCTTGCAGAAGGAGACGGAGAGGTGGATCGATATTTGCGGCAGCGCTGGGAAGGCGTGATAGACTTGATCTCGTTGCTATTTCAAAAACTAGCTGGTCACCACAACAGCAGACATGGAAGTCCAATACAAAGCACGTGATGCTTAAACACACCTACCTTAGCCGGGCGCATTTACCTACTTGGGGCGGATGCGCCCAATGAGCATATTGATTGATGCACTCAGAGGCTGAGCCTGCAGTATCACTGGAGCAGTCTAGCGTTTTTCCAGATCCCCGAGGTCCAAACAGGTCCAAACAGGTCCAAACAGGTCCATAGGGGACTAACGAGGACCAAAGGGAACCGGACCAACCAGGACCAAAGGGAACCGGACCAACGAGGACCAACAAACCTGATGCCCAACCAAGCCGTGAAGAGTTCCTCCGTCGAAATGCTGCCTGTGGAGGAACAATCAACCAAGCCCGCCTTCCTTGCCAACATAATTGAAGAGGCCATGTTCTTTCTTGATCGCCTACTTATGAACGAGATAAGGCAACAGGTTTGTCCGCGACCAATACATTGTTTAGCCACTGCTTTGTTCAGGCAACACGAAAGACAACTTCGAGGCACCGGGTCTCGACTTCGAGCATACTAAAAATGGAGGCGGATCGACACAACATCCTGGCAGCGACCCCCGAAGCCCCGCGCTTACGCCGCGAAAGATTGAGCCGCTTCTTTGGCGACAAAGACGGACCCATCACTATTAGCGTGGAACCTCTTGATACCAGCGAGAGAAGACAACGAGCTCAAGCTGACATTGATGGAATTTTTGCAGGCCTTGCATACCTCGACAAGCGGCGGGATAGCCTGGACACTGCCGATACCAATCCGCAATCAGAACAGCCACTCAGAGAGAATTTAATTCTTAATGATATTGGCCACCAATCCGCAAGCCAATTCACGGCTTCCGCTTCGACAGGCCAAGTTCAACATCCACAACGCTCAACCGAGAATATTCGACAGGCATGGACGGACCTCCAAAGCTTACAGAAAGGATTGAAGGCCCAGTACGAAAGACTTGGAGCGATAGCTTCTAAATCATCCTCCGAAATCGTCCAGAAGCTTCCAGGGATTTACGGCAACTCCAGAGGATTAGGCAAGATGGGCATTCTGGCACACCGAGATGCTCTGGATTTAATTATCCCTGACACTCTTGCCGAGATCATTGCTTTCGCCTCATTTTCCTATGTGATCTCGGAAATCTTGTTGCAACGAGACCGGATCGTTGTGACCAATCCCCTTTCCGATCTTCAGCGATGGGGACATTGCATCCCGAATATCAACAATCGGGAGGCTTTCGTATCCGTAGCGCTGGAAATGTGGCCTTCAGATCATCCAAGAACAACGACAGCCGATGCGGAGAATGGCCACAGTGGTTCTAACCAGCCGTACTTTGGGTCGCCAGACACCACGAATACTATGGACGAAGCCTATCACTTTCAGGAAACGTCATACTTTTTCGAAGCTTTTAGCGGGTTCGAAGAGATACTCGCATCAGGCCCCTATGGCGCTCCCTCAGCTCCTGAGCCATCTGGTGTCGACCCAAGAGAGGTTGGATACTTTTCTACCAATTTGTCACCGGATGACGTTCCTCTGGAAACTTTCTCGGCCATCAACGGACCACCCATGCCCACGTTATGGGCATCTGCTGAACACGGCGCTGACCTCGGCCCCGATATTGACATAGGAGGGCTCAACACCGCCTTTCCAAATATCACCAGAGAGAGCAACTACGTGGATTGCAACATGCAATACACTTCCATGATCTCAGCTGTACTAGCATTCTCTCAAGATATCGGAGACTTCTTCTATCGACTGTCAGGCTGTGGCAAGACCGTGCACGGTGCCAGGCGAGGCTCCGCGTACGCCAGTGAGAGATCAAAAGTCGAAAGGAGACTACGCAAAGAGATGCTTGATCCGATGAAGAAGTCCGGCACAGGAGACGAGGTTTGTTTGGCTTGGTTGTCAGTGGCCAAGGAGTTCGTTGTCCTAGGGAGCCTGGGGACTGTTGAAGATGTGCAGGAATATTTGGTCACCGTCTCTCGGGTAAGATCTGCTCTTGCTATTGGAAGTTTTCCCCCGATACAATTCTGACATATACATATAGGAGGTCAATGAGGCCGGCCGTGAGAATGTGAGGTTTCGTCAGTGGATCCACGATTTCTCCAGCGTCCGTCTCTCAAGCACGAATGCCCCCAACCAATCGCACGAGGAGATAAGACAAGGGCGAGCGAGGTCGGAGACGCATGAAAGGTAAGGTTCTAGTCCCATTTGTCCGCAGTTTGAGGCTGCGTAACTGATAGATCGGAAACTGGATATAGCCAGGCCCTTTCGAGACAGGTGCATAGATGCCAAGTTCCAACCTGCACTAAAACCTTCGCGACGCTCTCTGGGCTTAGGAAGCACGATAAAGGATGCCATCAAGAGAACGTCCCGAAAGTAGCATGCCTATATCCTGGATGCGAGTACGAGCACATCCGGCCAGACATAGTCAGGGGTCATTGGAGAAGAATGCACAAGACGGAGAAGTTACACCCGGGTTTGGAACCCAGACGACGGGGTCCAACAATTAGAACAGCCCCTCGCCTTTGATCGAGATGGTAGAAGTTCAACGAGTGCTATAGGCTGTAAGGCTCGGGAATGGTCAGCTTATTCATCTGGGAAAGGAAATCTTGGTAAATTGACATCTGCTGGGAAGGATGGCCGACTTTGAAGCTGAGTTTAGCTGGTAAGACTGGTAGGGAAGAGTCAATAAGGGAAACACTAGATAGTTCATATATGCATGCATTTAGATGAACGGTCTTCAAGGGGTTGTTCGGGGTCTGAGATTCAAAGTTCATGGTTGTTTCATTGTACAGAGACCTGATGCATGCGACTTAGTACAGAAGTACTGGTGGATCTTACTATGCCGAGATTGTGCCCTCGACAATGGTTACATGTAAAGTACAAAGAAAAAGATATTTCGTTGAACCTGACTTGCATATTTGCTTTTCCCAGAGCTTCCCAAAACTTGGATTACGGGTGGGGCCTACTTGGTGTTGACAAAGTCCCAGCTGGTGACGGGGGCGTTCTGACCGGCGATAGTAGCCGTGGGACGGTCATAGAAGTACTGAACTGATGTTTCTCCAGCATCGCTGAGAATGCGAACGACAAAGTGGACGATGAGCTCTTTTCCAGCGTAGAAGCCCTTCACAATGAACGGAACTTTCAAGTCAAGCTCGGTGCCAGTCTTGGAGATGAAAGTTGCGCCCTCAACGCCAATCTTGGGGGTCGAAACACCTCCGCCGGTGACTCCGCTGTACCAGACCGTGGACTTGCCCGTGTAGTCCTCCTCAACCCAGAAGTTGAAGGCCCAGGAGGCGGCAGAGATCATGTTGCCGGCGACGACCTTGAAGGCCTTGCGAACGTGGGGAGAAGTGAAGACGCGCTTCTCGAGCGATGCGTCAACCTCATCGACGCTACGGACGGCGATACTGTTGGTGACCTCAACGCTGACTGGGGATTCGACACCCTCGGCCAGGAAGTTAACATCTGTTATATGGCCTCGAGATTAGCTTTGAATCCTTCACATATCTCTCCTGGAATCAGAAGACACTATTTGTGTAGAATGACTCGGAACAGTATCTCACCTCTGGCCTCGATGGCGACACCTGTGTTGTCAATAGGGCTGGCGAATGCAGCGGAGGTAAGGGTGCTAGTTGCGAGCAGACCAGCATAGAAGAACTTCATAATGGGTGCCATTTTCAAGACTTAGCAATTGTTGATAGTATGTTGGTGTTGGAAGAGGGAGCTGAAAAGAATGTGTGGTGAGCTTGATATTTTAAGTCGTTCACGGGAAGTTGACCATCTTTTTATAATCCCAAAGCGAGTTCAATTGTTGTTGTTGAGCTTTGCACTGAAGCCGGAGACATCTATTCCCTCCAGCCGTAGAGTTATCTTCATCTCATTGAGTTGACACTGTTTCGGGCACTTCGGTAGTGACCTGGAAGCTGAGTATCTCGTGAAATCTGCTGAACAGCCCCATCAAGAACCGCTCAGCTCATCCGAACTCTCCGCTGTCAGGGGCGCAATGTCTCCATGCTGGCTCGTTCCCCCTCAAAGTTCAGTCGACACCACGAACACATCCCATGTCGAAAAGCTTCGCGACGAGAACACTCAAATAAGCCTTCGATAGAAGCTAGCTGAAGGGTGATAGAAAGCTTGTTATGAGAGCATGCTTCGAAGTGAATCGATCCAGCGGTCAAGAAACGACGGTTGAGAAATCAACTACAGGCGTAAAAGGTTCCATAGAAGCCGAAGGACCTAGGAGCACTAACTTTCAAAGTACTAGCAACCAGTAGATTGAGGTTGGCTACATGCAAGTTAGCGGATTCGTCATTCGGGCCTGTTACGAGAACCGTCGAAATGCTGCACACGTGAAGTACCAGAGGTCTCTTGACTCCTCGACAATATTGAGAATTAGTAAGCGGTCAGCTCGCGCATGCATTGTTTATATAAAATATAGATGCCTTAGAGCAAGACAAGAGGGACCAGCAAATATGCGTCACCGAATGATCAAACATGGTACACAAAGACAGAAGCCAATGACGTCGGCTTGACGTGTACCGCTAGTTGTAGCTACTTTGGAGCTCATATAGTAAAGTAGGGTTCTAAGCTGCAAGGGACTGCCGACTAATCCCGCATAACTGGGATCTTGTTGCGAGCGCATCAGAGTGCCGAACCTCACGTTGAGTGTCTCAACTTGGGATACGAGTCCGAAGGGATCGTATCTTTGTGCTTCCGCCCATCCTCGCTCTACCCCTGCCACCTGATCATTGAGATTACTGGTCTGAGGGACAACCGAAAATTTCCGCATTTGATTTCGAATAAGAGGATCCAAAAAACCCACACGAGCACGGAAATTCTGTTGAAAGCCTGACATCAAATGCCTCCGAACGTGGTCGAACCGTGAGCTAGCTGCTAAGCCATCGAAACTTTGTTAATTAGCCCCTTTGGCTGCGGGCTCAAATCCACCCCAAAAACACGAGTCTGTTTCATTCTATGTTACCCTCGGTGATCTAAATTGAAGTACCGGTTGTGTGAAAAGCTCCAAGCGGAGCTATCAAAAAGGGAAAAGGATTTGGTCCCACTGGTGCAATCAAAATGATGGAGTAACGTGATCTATTGATATAATAGCAGGGCCAAAAGTATCGCGTTCTGCTTTTCAATTTCTATTCGCTCAAAATCGTCTTTTCAACAGATGGAAACTCGTCAAGCCGCCGTCTGAGGTTCGATTTCGAGCCAGTTGAGGCAAGGGCTATGAAGTTGTCCACTCTGAGTACTTGGCAGCCTTTCTCACCTTTGGATCAATTCTGGTAGCACAGGGTTTAATCGAAATCATCTATGCATGCACTGTGAAAGTCCTTGAACCTCAATCACAAGGGAGCATAATGTGGATCTGGCACGACCGCGACACAAACACCGGACCGAAAAAGAGAGCAGTTGCGCAAGCTCATTTCGAGGTTTGCCTCTAATCAGATCTGTAGCACAGAAACTCGCCGGTTCATAGACTTAGCGTCATCTTTTGTTCATTGGAGCGTTACCTTGGCGTGCCCAAAGTCAATAAGTACTAACTTTATCTACTTCAATTACGAAATTCACAGAAAGCTAAGAGCATCGAGGCTGCAACAATTCAAGCGAAGACAATTTCTTCGTCGCCAAGTTATTACTTGAACAGGACATGAAATTGGAACCTGGCAAATGATGGCGCTAGCGGTAGGTACAGATGCAATTTTAGCGGTTTCCCTGAACCCAATTAAGTTCAGGGCAAAATTGAGCCGTGCCCAGCCGCCGGCTGACATGGGCCCTCTTCTCCTAGATTAAGGCTGATCAGTTCGCAAAGCAATGCACAGCGGACTGAACATCATACCATCGAGCAAAAGATATTTCTTGCGGCCAGTGTGGATTGAACACACGACCTTCAGATTAAGTGATTGAAGTTGACTTCAGTCTGACGCTCTCCCAACTGAGCTATGTCCGCCGCTGAATGTTGTCAAGGGTGGGAGGCAGTAGCAGCCATGAAGCGTGGGTCAGGGCTTCAGGCCCTGCGGGTCCGGGTCAGATGTATTCCGGCACGGCAGCCGAAGACCTCGTGCACCCGGGACAACCCAGGCCGCCTACAGTTAGCCAGCCGGTTGGGTCTTGAACCAGCTAAGGTTTTTTGGGGCTGATAACGACTAAGTTCAACTTACTTGAAGTACTCGAATTGGCGTTTACCAAGGCGGATGTATTTCGTTGATTCCAGACTTGATGGAAAGCAGTTGTCTTATGATATCAGGACACGAGACTAAGGGCTGGATGCAAATGCATGCAAATTTGTCATTTTTGACAGCTCTTACTCCTTCATGCTACGGGAATAGCCTTCTCTCGTTGCTCCAAAACATAGCCGAAAGCCTCATCCAATATCCTCAGACCCTCCTCAATCTCATCCGCGTTCACAGTTACAGGAGGCGCCAGCCGGAAAACACCACCCATACCCGGCAGATTAACAACGTTACACGACAGTCCCAAGAACATCGCCCTATCGGACACGGCCTGACCAAGATCTGATCCAGGTGCCTTCGTCTTAGCATCAGAAATAATCTCGATACCCTGAAGCAGGCCGCGTCCGCGGACATCGCCGATGCACCAGTACTTCTCCTGAAGCTTCAAGAGACCAGCCCGAAGCTGTTCTCCGCGATCAGTAGCGCGCTTGCAAATGTTGTCTCGCTCCACAATCTCGAGGACTTTGTTGCCAACTGCTGCTGTAAGGGGGTCGTTGAGATGCGTCGTCAGCCAGAGGAAGCCGGCGTCTTTGCACCCTTGCGCGACCGCGGCTGTCGTACTGACAGATGCCAGAGGTAGGCCGCATCCCAGAGTCTTGGACAAGCAAAGAATGTCTGGGACGGTATTGTCGTGCTCAAACGCGAACATTTGGCCAGTACGGCCTACACCTGTCTGCGCCTCGTCGAGAATAAGCAACATGCCACGCTTCTTGCACTCCTCGCCCAGACGCTTGAGATACCCCTTGGGCAGGTCAAGGATTCCGCCGGTGGAGAGGATGGGCTCCATAATGAACGCAGCCAGAGAACCAACGCTCTGCCTATCAATCATAGACCAACCAAAGTCCATCTCCTTCTCCCAGTCATAAGCACCATCGGCAGTGCGGAAGATGGAACGGTAGGCATATGGTGCGGGGAATGCGAGTTGGCCCGGCATTGCGGGGCCGCCGTTCTTTCGGCCGGCGGAATAGGTTGCGGAGCCGGAACCTGAAGTGAGGCCGTGATAACTTGCCGACATGGCGACGATTTCAAATTTGCCGGTGTGGAGCTTTGCCATCTTGATGGCGGCTTCTGTGGTTTCTGAACCAGTGTTGAGGAAGAAGGACTTTGGGCGGATCTTAGTCAATATGATCCAGACAGACTGAGCACCGTGGCAGGGGCGTTACCTTTTCCAAAGGGGCGGGCAGCAGCTTGCCCAATCTCTCAGCGAGATCAGCAACTGGTTGAGTGATCATGTTACTGAGCAGATGGTCAAGCTCAGCGACATATTTCTGAACGACCTCCACGATTTCCGGATGTGAGTGGCCCAGCAGAGAGCTCATTTGACCAGACGTGAAGTCCAAGATTTGGCGACCTTCAGCATCGTAAAGCTTCGTGCCCTTAGCTTTTGTGATGATAACGGGAGAGTAAGGGACGCCCGTTGACATCAGGTACTTGTTGGTTTTCGCCCAGAAGGCGGTCGTGCTCTCAGTAGCCATGATAAATGATTGATTGAAAGATAACAATGCTCGTTAGAATAGAAAGAGATCGCCGACGATGGTTCACCTTATTTGCGTCTAGATCTTGCAGGACCGTGAGTATTTATCTGGGATGATAACAACATGTGTGAGTTTACCGCGGGTAGCGGGGCTGAGGGGCATCTCAGCTTGCCCGAGGGCGACATCTTTCCCGCGGAGCATATTAACAGTCCCGCCTGTTCTTGAGCACAAGCCTCTCAATTCTGTCCAGTTTTCCGAGGAAGTTGGCCACTGTTATACTCTCAATAATTATTACATGTATTGATCCGGAAACTGCGACAGTATGCATCTCAGGCTGGCAAGCCTAAACATCGGCCTGCTTATCCTTCATCCATGTTTCAAGCTCGCCAATTCTATCAAGTAGCCCAATGTGTTCCACATAGGCGTCTGGACGAACGTAGACGTATCCGGGGCTGTCAAACCCATACAACTTATGCAAGCTCCCGTCTTCGTCAAAATATCCCAGATCTTCTTGACTGGAGATGATGTGGAAATCAATAGGTCCGCAATCAGCAGCGGAAGCATTCAGATCTTTCTCGGATGCGGAATTCTCACCCAATCCAGTAAATAAGAGGAGCTGATAGTCCAAAGAACGGAAGATATCATGCAGCTTCCCCTGCCCGTCCGGGCCTATCAAGGTACCGTTCGGCGCTCTGTCCCCTCCGCGCACTGGACCGGTGAAGCTGCTGCCAGTAGCTACGATGTCGCTCTTTCTATAGCGGATTTGGAGTTGCGATGAGAATCTGTAAGCCATCTTCCATCGATCAGAGTCTTTGAATATGAGAGGTTGAATAATCGGCCCTAGATAGTTGCGCAGGAAGGTGGCAACAAAATTCTGTGATGTCATGACTGTGAATATGCGGTCGGTCCTAGCGAGAACTGTCTTTCCGACTGGTGACCTCTCGTTATTATACGTATCGAGAAAGTCAGGGTCCCTTCTGCGTTTCAGGACTTCCGCCAATTTCCAGCCCAGGTTAATCGAGTCTTGTATGCCAGTATTCATGCCCTGACCACCAGCAGGGCTATGAACGTGAGCTGAATCACCTGCCAAGAACAAACGTCCATCCCGGTAACTGTTGACGCCGCGATTGGACAGATGGAACTTGCTCAGCCAGATCGGTTCGAAGAGCTCTCCTTGGTCTGGTGCCATCTTGTCGAGCTGGTCTTGAAAGTCCTGGAGTGTCGGGTCTCTTTCCGTCTTTCCCAGCCAGCTGCTCCCGGCAAGACGAATAACATCGTCATCAAGCGGGATGACAATAAGTGAGCCCTGACCCAGCATGAACATCGCTTTCCCTGCTTGAGGTTGCTTCCACTTGACGCGACAGTCGCATAGGAGGAACTCCTGCGGATACTCTGCGCCCTTGAACTGAAACCTTTTGCCAGCTTCCCGAACGGTGCTGTTTGATCCGTCTGCGCCGACGACATATTTGCAACGGAGACGTCCGACTTGCGATCCCTTCTTGAGTGCCACCGAAACTCCGGTCTCATCCTGGGTAATTGATTGTGCCGTAATTCCACGTTCAGGGAAGACCTCAGAAACCTCCTCCAGGCGTTTGCTCAAGAAGCGCTCCGTCTCAGCTTGTGACGCCAACAAGGGGCGAGGAAAGTCTGTTCCGTACTCGCGCGCAATTCCATCGGAGCTGCCGAAGGTGATGTCAAGGACGGGTTTCTGGTTGATCCACGTCGCTATGCCGGTCGGTTGCCGTGCCCGTGAAATGAGTTCCTGGACGTCTCCATAGCGATAGAGTAACTCCTGTGTCCGAGGCTGCACCACGAGCGCTCTTGATTTATCCGATACCTCCACCCTTGATTCCACGATCCGGAAACTGACGTTTCTCGCGGCTAACTCAATGGCTAACGTTAGGCCTGTAGGACCTGCCCCAACGATGAGGACGTCGACTTCTGACATACTGAAGTACTCAGGTTCAGATGAGCAATGAGATCAATCAGTGCATGTCACGCACCATTACGATGTACGTTGAATGCAAGACAGGTTCTATAGAATGAAAACAGCTTACCTGGATTCATTGCTCAGACCGTGATGACGTTATGGATGACGCAGGTCTCAGTCTGTGGCTTTCAACTAAGGCTCTCAATTTGGCTTACTGTGAACACTCGGACAGCAGCAGCGCAGTTTTGAAACGGCCCTAGTACATTCATCTGGTGAAAACTCCAACAGTCATTTGATCTATTCAATCTTACTGGACTCCGTATTTCCATTTTTAACAGTGGTTTTGATTCGCTTGCTAAAGTTTTGTCGTGTCTGAATGAGTTGATACTCTCTCCAAGAGTCCCATCCATAACTTGGGCAAGTAACAAAAGGTGGTTGCCAGTTGGAACACTTGCAGCACTTCTAAAACCCGGATGGGAAGTTTTAACAGACTTTTCTGCTCAATCGTAGGCGTGCTTGAGACCAGCCTCTTCAATCAACAATAGCGGAAGATAAGGACGCAAAGTAGAACATTCGGTGACAGATCAATAATCTATTCATTCACCAAAGTCCATCATCAGTCCCGTCTTATGTGAAACTACATAGAACAACCTTGAGGGGGGGGGGGGGGGGCAAAAAAAAAAAAAAAACAACAAGCAAATAATAAACTGATACCATACACACACTCTCAACCAACAACCCCAACCATCTCGTCATAGAAAACAAGACAGAGGGGGGGGGGGGGGGGGGGGGGGGGGGGGGGTCATCAGAATCAGAATCTCAATGGCTTTGGGCATCAATATTCACGCCAAGCCAGGGCGATTACGGCAGGCAACGTTCGTTGGACATGCAAGTCGCTGCATCTAGGTCAATAACAATGCATCATCAGTCCATCTGGCCTCCAGCTAGAAGCAATGAGATGACAGCTGAAGCCTGGATTGGTCTGTTGGCTGTCGATGCTGCAAGCTGTTGCCGCTCAGTTTCTGATTTGTTCAGCTACTGCCGGAGGCCGTCAATCTACTCCACACACACTTGCAAGTTGCCTTGCCCAACAGACGAGCCAACAACGGCAAAAGCGAGCTACAAGAAGAGAGGTTTTCCCCGTCCGAAGGAAATCGGAAATTGTTCAGACTCAACCGTTTCTAGTTTAGTCCTACATCATCTCAGTATGTCTGAGGCGAATTTCCATCGGATCGACCCTCATGGGGACGTCGTCATTCTGCTTCGCAATCCCGGGGCTTCGTTTGCTGTATGGGACGCTGACCTGTCATCCTCAAGAAAGAGGGCGACGGAACCGTAAGCATAATGCTATGTCGATTTCGTCCTTCTGCTCGGATGATGCTGACATACAAGCAGCCCTGTAGCACAAGACACCTGCGGTTCTTCTCCCAATTACGACGAAATTCCTGCACCCGAATCGGTTCCAGAACCACCAATGGAGGAAGCCCCAGCGGAAGATTATGCCCTTGATCCTTGGGGGGGTTTTGGCATAAGAAAGAAAAAGAAGAAAATAAAGACAATCTTATTCAAATTCGATGATGCTGAAACCGTCGAAGCAGCAAAGCCATACGAAGAGCCGATACCAGAACCGGAGGTATATTCCGAGCCAGTACCAGAGCAGGAGGCATATATTGAGCCAGAACCAGAGCAGGAGGCATATCTCGAGCCAGAGCCAGATCCAGAGGCATATGCAAGGCTGCACCCAGAGCCGGAGGCATACGAAGAGACGAAGCCAGAGACATCCGAAGACCTAGAGGTGAGATATCTTGTATCGTCGAGACACCTCGCTCTAGCATCCCGGTACTTCTCGACTAAGCTCTCTGGCCCGTGGATTGAAGCTTCAGTCAGGGTCATTGATGGCTGTTACCACATGGAGGCAACAGATTGGGATCCCGAAGCGCTCCTCATTCTGATGCAAATCATCCACGGAAAGACGAGAAGTGTGCCCCGTCAGGTAGATCTCGAGATGCTAGCGAAGCTGGCGGTCCTTGTGGACTACTATGATTGTCATGAAGTCATCGAGGTTTTCTATTCTTTGTGGATCGAGCCTTTGAGAAAAGATCTCCCAAGTCATTACTGTCGAGAGTCGGTTCTCTGGCTTCTCATATCGCACGTTTTTAGACAAGACGCCATCTTCAAACACATGACAGGATTGGCCGTGCTGCAAAGTGCTGAACCTATGCAAACCATGGAACTTCCTATTCCCTCGGCAGTTGTTGGTAAGTGTTCTATATGTGCTTCACTAGCTCGCTCGCTAATTATTGGAAAGATTTGGTGGACTGGCGCAGACAAGACGCGGTCGAGTTCATCTTCGGAGTGCTTCAAAACCTCCTTGATGCGTTTCGATACGATACAGCTGGTTGCGACTTTACATGTAGCAGCGCTCTCTTTGGGGCCCTGACTAAAGAAATGGATAGATACGAGCTACTTGATCCCAAGCCAGTCAAGCCTTACCAAGGATACTCTATCGAAGACACAGAGAAGATTGTCAGGAGTTTCCGTTCCCCAGAATGGCGTACTCAATATTATCAAAGGGAAAAGCATCCATGCACTCTCTTAAGCATGGTAGAATGTTACCTCAATGCAGACTTCGACAAAAGCAAACAGGGCTTCGAGCTGTCCGAAGCAGTTTCGGCGCGAGTCAACGGAGGACTGAACCGGGGGAAGGGGAAGGATGTGCCAGCGGACGAGGAACCTGCGCCCACTTTGGAAGACTAGATAAGGGCAATTCGGACGCCTAGATGTTTTCACCAGGTCCAGCTCGATTGTTCGCCTGGCTACAGCATCGCACCTGTGGTTTCATTAATTTTGTCGGGGGCTCTGAGAAACGTTTTTAATCTGGAGATATTCCAATCAAAGTTAGCTTCCTCTACCTTACTGGAGCCAAACATCACGGTAATCCTACAATTTGTAATGACCCCCGAGGTATCTATAGTCCAGCGCAAGTGAGAGTTTACTACCTTGGTTTCTCTATATGCCAGGCACTATCAGCTGGTCAACATCCGGACCCCATCCCTCAGACCTCGAGAACGTGACTGCATTTTCTCCCTCCTTTAGGTTGACGTGAATGGCGCTGCTCCCAGTAGTAGAGAGATGAGAAGTCGAAAGGAAAGCAACTGCCTGCTCTTCTCCATTGACAGATACTGCAGCATGTCGAGAGGCGGTATCGCCGTTCTTGTGGTTGACGACGAGGGTGACCCGATCAGCTGTAGCCACGGTGAAGTTGAAGGTAGCAGTTCCATCTTCGTCGCCGCCCAGATACCCTGCGGCCGAAGAGCCACTGCACTGCGAACAGTCGACGATGCGAGCACCGTTCGAAAGCGCGGCAGTCTCGCCCTCGATCTCGGATGTGATTGTACTCTCGGACCAGGTGCCTGCAGCAGTGTCGAGGTTCCAGGAATCATGCCAGTTGAGAGTCACGGTAGTACCGTCAAATTGAAGAGGCAGCCAGATGTAGGTGCTCGCTGCCAAGTTAGTCGAGTGCCATCTGTCACCCATGTAGATGGCCTTGTCTGTGCCAAGGGGGAGGACGAAGCTGACTTGGCTGTTGTAAGTCTTTGAGCCGACGGGTGCAAACTCCGTCCAGTTAGACCAAGGTCCGGAAAGAGACGTAGCGTAGCTGTAGACCTGCGAAGATGTCAGCACGTTTCACTCAAACCTTAGTGAAGGGAGTCTTACGTTGTCGTTGGGGTTCCATCCCGTAAGGTGAGAGCCGAAGATGAAGTACGTGCCATCGCGCTTGACAAGCGCGGGTGACTCGGCGAAGTACTGCCAGCCAAATGTCACTTCAGCAACATCGAGGTAGTCATCTGTGAGCTTGATGATGCGAGTACCATACTCCCGCTGTCTGATGGTTAGACCAACTCTTCTAGCAGTAAGAGACAGACTTAAGACTTACGTCCTCGCTCAACAAGTAGGCGCTTCCATCATCGTCCTTGAAAATGCCAATATCGCGACTCTGGAAATCGAAGGGGCGGAAGCTGCGGATATACTCATACTGGCCACAGACGCTATCGCCCGTCGCAACACCGACTTTGGCATCCTTATAGTCGGAAGAGTCGATATGGAGGTGCAGAACGTATTTTCCAGTGGCATCGTTCTTGGTCACCTTGGGTCGCTCAATGATGCGATTGGGGCCGAGGTCACCGGCTTCCTCGGTTCGAGTCAAGAGGCGCCCCTGGAAGCTCCACTCAATCAAGTTCGTGGAAGAGTAGCAGTTGACTGCTTGGAACGCAGCACCGTCTGTCTTCTCCTCGCCAATCATGTAGTAAACACCATTTTCCTCACTGCTCCATGTTAGCTATCTCATACTCTCGAACCATTGCCATATTTCAACAAGCGCGAGGGCTGAGTTCAACTTACATGATACCTGCGCCATGAGCTTGGACGTGCTCTCCAGTGTTCGTCTGTGGTTAGGCGAGTCAGAATAAGCTTCTTCGAGCGACTGGGGTCCACTCACGGCAGTCCATGTTGCCCCTGGAACAACACTCAGGGCAGCATTTACGCCACCCACGGTAAGGGCGGCGGCCAAAGCAAGCGGTGAGGCACGCATCGCGACTCTGAGTCTTAATGAAGCTTCTTGCTGAAGTATGAAGACTCGGGATGCGAACTTGAAGTTGTTCAAACGTCGGGCCAAAGTTGCGCGGCTATCAAGATGTTTGTATACGCACTCGAGGTCCAATGCCAATGTCTTGGCAACTTACATGCCAGAACACATTACGTAGTTGCCCAGACATTGGGAATTTCTCTGGTTGTTGCGCATATACAAACACTGGTTCGGGTCAGTATGAAGCGAATGAGCAGAATCTCCAGGTCATACAGCGTCACATTCGACAGGTTGAATTCGGTTAGTCTTCCGATCAAACGACCACTGTGGGGATCTCGGAGCCGAGCATAGCGTCTTTCCCCAGCTTCTTCATCACACTGTAACGGTGATTGTCGATGGGAACCTCCACAGTGACCCCGCATCCAAGGCGGGAAAACCTGCTGATCATCAGGTTCAAGCGATTGCTCAACGCGGTGATCGACAGGGCCAAGACCACGGGCATCGGTTGAGGGGAACGCCGCGACCAGTCCGCGTGATCCTGCAGTTCGTCGTATTGGTATTTCAATAGTCGAATGCCAAGTAAACTCAGCTTCGTATGGCTGAATGGCTGAAGGCTGGGGCATAGCCGGCTGTGCATCTTTTCTTCCACCACGAGATACATCATCTACACTGTTGTTCAACTTGCCCAATGCAGATTGTTTGGATTCGTAAAGATGGCAGTCGACTCAATGTTAGGAATTGTTTCTGAACCCGAAGCCGTAGCTCAGACCCCATCACCTGTTAATCTCTCACAGTCTTAATGGACATGATCGCCTTTGACTGACTGCAAGGCTCAAAACGCTTCAACAAGCTGCAACCAGCTCTTCGATCAAGGCATCTTCCAAATAGCCTCATAACCTGCCAGCTTTGAACCATTGACCATCACAACGTGCATACTTTAGTCACAGGCCCCACTGAGGTTCGGCCTAGGTTGTAATAATTGTCGGTAGATAACTTCGCTTTGATTTATACTAACATCAACTTGAGTTCCTTGGGAGTCAAAGAAGATGCTAACTAATAGTAAGAGAGATGGAGAGTTAGAGGGAGAAGCGTACATAACCAAAAGACATAAGTATTCTTGGAACACAAGATTCAGGCGGCCAGGCTCGTAACCGCTTGAAGCATGACTTACGGAACGCTACGTCCTTTGAAGTCGGAATGAGCATGTGAGTTTCATTTGATTTAGAGCAACCATTAGGGAATTGGCGCATTCGGACTCGTTATCACTGGATAACATGCAATTGACTCGCCAGGGAATCTCACTTGTTCCATCTACTTCGGCCGGCGTGAACATAATTGCCGACTTGGAGGGTAGAAATGCGTCATTCCATCACACAAGTCACTCCTCACCAGGAGGGGGGGGATATGTCCCGATTTTTTAACTCGCAACCAAAAACAATCAATTCTTGAGGCTACTGAATGGCATGAAGTTTGTGTCTGCATAACCGGAGAGGGGGTCGCAAAGTCTAAACGAGAAGCGTGCGATGAAGGCCGTAATGCAAGTAGCTCGTCTGTAAGTGTCCGATGATTCGATGGATCCAGAGAATTACCGACTCCAGAGTTTACTCAGATTGAGGCTGCAACAGGCCGACGAAGTGGCTTCTCAATCTAGATCTTTCTCGGCATGCAGGTACTAGGGGCTCTAAACTGAGCTGGCCATCCGAACACTCGCTCACCGGGCTATGACGACTCTCCCAGGTACCCGGAATCATTGATCGACGATGACGAGGTTCCATCGCATTCGAGACAATGAGGCTCTGAACCAGCCGCTGAAAGAAGCCTTCCCTGGCGCCTTGTCAGGGGTGAGAGGGTCCTCAACCACCAATCATCACCCCAATCGAATGCGATCTCCTGACTTGATGATGCTTGAATCTTCCAGAGGTTAAGAACTTTCAACTGACAATTTAATTGATGCAATTCAAAGTTCAAGACGACAGCCTTCACGTGTTGGTCCCGAGGCTCGTAAAATCCTCCGAGGTTCTTCCAACGAGGTGGAACCCCGATCTTATAACCATATTTTGACAGTATTATCCTAGCTTACATGTCAATTATTCGGCATCTCATCCGAAGTAAGGCACACGGACACGTCACTTATACCAAACTCGCCCAAGGCCACCACTAAGTCACCGCTGCTTTACTGGCCTTGGCGCCTTGCGGCTGCCCCCTTTGCGTATTCGGATTATTTGGTCGTCCGATGTTGTATGGGTAAAGACCGTACAGACCATCCCTGCTGATCTACTAAATTCACAACGGCCAGCGGGCCCTTTAAAGTCTAAATCTGTGCCCCACGGCCTAAAGCGGATGCTTAATGCGAGAGCATGAATGGACGTCATCCACTGACGTTCCAGGGACTGATCGAAATAGGCTCCATGGTGCATGTGGGTCGTTGGGTGTTGATTGAACTCTGAGGTAATGTTCATCGTGACATGGTATGGCGGGATCGCATTCGCAGAGCCAAGGAGAAGTTCAAGAGGGGCTTTTATCATTACCAGAATCTTTATAAAGCGAGTGAAAACTCCCCTCTACATCTTCCACGTTGACCAACATCAAATACTGTCTACCACATCTACTACAAACAACACCCACAAGACACTGCTCAAACCACAGCTTCAGGTCCAAGTCATAACGTGCAATCCAGCCGACCAATCACGAATACAGACTCTTCAACATCTCACAGTCGAGCCAAACCTACCAACTCAGCCAAGCTCAAAACGTCTCAACAAGACTCTATCAATCTCACACCACTTTCAATATGCGTTTCTCAACAGTATTCACCCTCTTTGCCGCCACACTCGTCGTCGCCGCACCAGCGCCAGCCGACCTACAAGCCGACGGCGGCAAGGACAAAGGAGGCAAGAAAGAGGGAGGTGCCATCGCTTCCTGCGAGGTGCAAACCGCCGCCGATCATGTCAAGTGTATAGACGCCTGCGGAGCCGCCAAGAGATCCCTGTTGAGAAGAGCAGACCAGGGTCTCGGAGACAAGGGCGACAAAGGCAAGGGCGGCAAGGATAAGGGTTGTATCATGGATTGGTAAGTTCACAGAACGGCTTGGACCAGTTCCTCGAGGGCTTTGACTAATGTTTTTGCAGCACCTCCAAGGCCGTGGCAGGCTATACTGGTTGTGCGGGTGTTGGTCCTGGACCTGCTCCTACCAAGCCCAACTGAGGAACAAGGGGAGGTTGGTAGGATTGGCTATTGTGTTTCTGATTTGTTTGTGAGCGTTTTTCACAGCGTTTTGATAGCGTTGGTATTTAGCTCCGTGTTATAGTGAGGGGAACCATTACAGCCTGGAATAAATGATGACGACATGACAGAGGTTGCACAATAGCTTGAATTGAGGTGAACTGCAGGATTTGTCAAATTGTGTCCAACCATAAGGTGTGTGAAGTACCGCCTACCTAGTTAAACTATGCGTAAGTAGCCAAGGAGCCATGTTCACTAAATGATGCCTGTAGACCATTTCTAGCCCACCTAACTGGCAACTGTCATTGCCTTAGCATGCAGAGGCTGTTCCCCATAGAAGTTCTATCAGCCACCCATCCTATGTCACTTGATCACATCTGACGGCCGTTGCAAGTCACCCTCTATTCACCTTAAGCGCCCATCGATGATCGCAATGTACTTGAAGCTTCAAAGGTTGTCATCGTTGATTCCATAAGACCCCCGGTGGATACAGACCCAGGTTCCTATTCAAGCCAAATCTTCTCACCATCCTCAGCCTGGAGCTCATCCTCCAACATCATCCCACCACTCCCACAAGCCCGCCGCAAACAAGCCCAACTCTCTCTCTTCATCTGCCGAAACACAACAGAGCCAATCCGCTTATACCGTCCTTCCCCAACCCTCTCCACAAGAATCCCCGTCCCGGAGTAATTAACTTCGGCAATATCCTCGTCTTCGACGTATCCATCATCCAGGAACCAATGTCCCCATTTATTCTGCAGCAACTTTGACGCAGCGAGCAAGAACATCTCGTAAGACATGCTGTTCTCTGTGGGCTGGATGTCGGGATAGGCCTCGATGAGCGCGTCGCTCTGCTTCAGTCCCGGGAACGTGAACGTCCAGTGACCTGCCCCAGATGCCTCGAGCGTCCCCCGGCACAAATGCGCCTGAATACGTAGGGAAGCAGATAGAAGCTCCGAGGGCTTATCCATAGCAAATTCCCTCTTCGTTTCCGGCTGCGTCGCCACCTTCGGCGTCCCGTCCTTCCCAACCTCTTCTTCCGCGATATCCTCAACAATGGGAGTAATCATAGTAACACCACTCACCCTAGCCTTCTCGGACACCCTCTCCGAAGCCCGATTCAGCTTCCTCGTCATATTCACAACCTCTTCCCGCCACACCGTCGAATGCTCCCCCTCAAACCTCCCAAAAAGCGGCTTCTTGATTTGAAACCTCGCGTTCCCACCCCCATGGTCGCAAGCAGTGTAAAATCTAGGCAACCTCGGTACCCTACCCGCAACCTCCACCTCCCCCTTCAATGAAGTCCACGACCAACTCGGATTCCCGACCGCCTGACCCCCAGGAACCACGACCCTCTCCTTCTCACCGTACCTCTCCGCGGTAGAACAATCAACGACCCGCCACGCGAGCTGCTCCGCGAGATTAATCCCCCACAACCCCGCAGCGTACTCCTCGCCCAGCGCGTCCCGCAGTAGCTTCGCGATACCCCACAGCGCGGCGAGTTTATCCTTGCCGTAGGTGAGGTCGCAGCTCGTGTAGGCCGCCACGGCTCTCTTCCAGAACTCTTCGAGCGAATCTTCGGCTGTGCCGGCGAGGGGTCGAACGGAGAGGGCTGAGGATTGCAGTCGTTCGCGCCAGTGTCTGTCGGTGGCGGATTTGGTGTCCAGGGGTGGGGGCAAGCCATCGGGGAGGGATTCGGTTGCAGTGAGAGTTGCGCAGTCCCAGAAGAGTTGGGTTGAAGTGAATTGAAGCAGACGGGGGGAGAGCATGCGTTCTGCTTAGCGTGTTAGTATACCGGCTGGAGATGATGACGAGGGCGAAGATAGGAGATGTAGATCCTGACCTTGAAATACCCAGCCGCGAGTGTACAGATGACTCCCCAAGAGATCTCGGTCCCATAAATCCGCAGGCAAAATCCTCCACACCTTGTCCCCAAACGTCACGGATGGTTCTTGGCTCTCGTACCTCACAGGCACCACCTCCGCCGTCCTCTCCCTAAACAACCCACGCGTATGATGCTTTGAGTCTGCCGCCGCGAGGTTACACCATGAGTTGCGGTAGACTTTATGCATAAGCGGCGCCTCATGGTTCCAGTCTTCGCCGTGCTGCTGTCCCTGGATGATACAAAGCGAGTCAATCCAGATATACCTCATCCCCAGCGTGCGAACAACGCGCACCGCGTCGGCAAAGTTCGCGTTGCTGGCCTCGAGTTCTGCCCAGGGGATGCCGTTAGTGGTGTACTCGTCGACATTCGTTTCTGTGAGGCGGATGAAGGATCCTGTACCCCAGCAGTGGGAGAGGGTCATGTAGGGGCCGGTGATGGGTTCTTTGGTGGTATCGACCACGCGGATGTGAGAAGGTGGGGTTGCGTCGTTGGTATTGGTATTTGGTGGACCGACGTCGAGGACACGGGTTGGAATGAAGGACTTGATGCTATGGCTTCGGATGCATTTTGGGTGGTTGGCGATGCAGTCTTGCATCCAGTCTATCATTTGGGCTTTGGACGCATCCGAGTCTGTTCGGTTTCCGAGTTCGTGCTGCTCGGGAATATCCCCCAAGTCTACGAGGGGGTGAGTAAGTGCATGAACTCCTGAATGCAAATGTGGAATCTGCGATGAGAGCGACCAACCTTCTTCGGGGAAGAGATAAAATGTGACTTCTGGCAGATCATCGCTCTTCACATCCCCACAAGCGCGGCCTGGCACCGGTCGAAATGTGACAGAGACATGGCTCTTTGTCTCACGGATCTGAGCGACCTGCCGCATGTTCCATCGAAAGAGGGATTTGGTCTTGAGGTTATGGTCAAACCAAGGATTGATCTCACCGAGGCCTTCAGCCAGCCTCTTGCAAAAGACGCATTGAGATCGCAGTGAGCCCTTGAATGAGTCGGAGTCTTGGTGGTGATAGTCCCATAGTTTCCCAGACTCAAGGACTGTAGTCCGGCAAAATTTACAGATGATCATTGTTGGTGCAGATTGAAATGTGGACTCTCATTTCTGACTCTCATTTCATCAGATGTAAATCTATGAGGCTGAGATTGAGAATGAGCTGTCCCGATGCTTGAGTGAGATTTTGGGCTGAGATGAGCAGGCAGCCATCATCTTGAAAGTGGTGGGGTCATTGAACAGCACGCAGACAGGGGTCATGATTGGATGCTGGATGCTGTGAGTGAGTACGCGGATCAAACCAGAGATGAAATTAGTAGGGCTTGAAGTGAGAATTGACGATGAGATGAGTGCAATTGAAGTGACTGTGTTCCGGGTGCAACACGCGTCCGGATAAGTTTCATTATTACTGGCTTGGCTCATATTAGTGAGTAGAGGCCTAACTGGTTTACCTCAACACCAGCCCAAAAGCTCCAGAGGCAGATCCCTCCTGCGGCACCCTCTGTCGAGCCACAAACCAGATGTAAGAGACTGGACACTCGTTGAAAGTTTCCCAGCTCTAGTTCGCTCTCGCATGGTGTTGCGAACTTGCGATGAAGAGGGTTCCCCTGTCTTTTGGTGCGGCAACAACTCAGTTGGGCGGGCAAGATACCGCGGTCGGCTAAGCTCTGAACTCAATCCCCAGCTCGAGCCCCTTTTACCCGTAATGTTCGAAAAGGCGATTTTCAAATACCATAAACATCAGGCGCAGACAGCCTCATTTCTGTTGTTTTCCCCTACTGAACTCTCTCTCATCCGGGGACGGCACCCGATGAGGGCCAGACCAGAGTCCATACGTCGAGAGTTGGGTCGATCCGTTATTCCTCGGCCAGCGGCGTCATCATGTCCCCGTCTCTCACATTACCCTCGCTCGGCGTTTGTTTTCTCGCGTTGCGTACCGAGTTCGATTAAGCAGTGAGTGCCAGAAGCGAGAGAATGGAGACAACAGCCCCAATTGAGCCGGGCCCCTGGTAGCTCGACGCAGCAGATGTGCCATTGGCCGATGACGACGACCTCGTCTGGTTGCAGGAGACGAAGCCGTTGCGCGATGCAGCGCCGGTGTGGGTCATGGCGCCGACATAGACACAGCTGCCCCGGTACGCCGGGTCGAACACAACACGGTCGGCTCCGGGCGCCCCTGCATAATGCAGCAATGTCAGTGCGTGTTCTCATGTTCGATGACGTGCCAAGAGCGGCGAAGGTGGCAGTTGAAATGCCAAGAAACCGGTTCCTGGGGAATGATGAGATGTTAGGGGATCCAAATGCGACTTACGTCCGCTGTAGTTTCCAGAAGTTATGATGGGGAACTCCTGGTAGGGGCCCGATGTGGCGAAGACGAGGCTCTCGCGGTTGTTGAAGCGGTGGGGGTACTGGCTGGTGCCGATTTGCTGGTTGGCGGCATAGAGACGGCAGCCTTCTGCAGTGGCGTCCTGGATTTGTCTCTTAGAGTACTTGTTGCTGCCGCAGGTGACGGTGCCGACGTCAGTTGTGCCCTGGCGCTTCTCGAGGGCCTGTTCGGGCTCGGGATTGGCGATGGGGCTCGCGGCGGCGGAGACGGCGCAGAGGGCGAGGGTCAGGGCGGATTTGAAGGAGACCATTTTGGATGGCGTCGTTTAGTGGACTGGAATGGTGTGTGAGACGAGATTGATGTCGATGTGTCCGAGGACGTTGGGTGATGTGGTGTTTATGCGGGCCTACAACGTCTTTTCGAGACGTGACGAGAAATGGATGAGGACGAGGTGTGGCGTGAATCAAGTCAATAATCAAGGAGATGATGGGCCTGCCCGCGATTAAAAGTTGCGAATGCTTTATTGAGTTGACTGAAAGAATAAGGCGAGCGAAGAAAGGACAGCAAAGCTGCCGAGAAACTTGGCCGGCGCGAGGAACCCGATTCCCGTGTGCCAAGTGTGGAAAATGCAAATTAAATCCAGTCAATTTCAGCTCACATCGTCCCTTCCTGCTCCGGGGCCAGGCCAGGCTAGGCGGTTCCTTCCCAACTCCCAAACGCTCCCAAACAGCTCAAAACTTTATTGGTCTTTAGATTCTTTAGGTGTTTCC